ATTCGCTTCTCGGCTATACGCTTAAGTATACACGAAAGCAGACTCCAGGTTGAGAATCCGGTACCATATCGTGAGTTCAATAGCGATGAGGATGTAAGGTTCAGGATTCTGAAAGTCACGATCATTCGTTCTGTAATGCGAAGCTCATCGACAATGGTCTCACACGACAATGGTCCTCCCACCGGATCCGCTTCCGGAATGAGAGCTGTGCATTGTGGTCAGAACTTTTCAGGAAAAGATCTGGCTCCACCTGCTACTTGTTGCTTTTTGTACCTATTTTTTATTCGTTCAAGTGAGAACAGATCAGAAGGATTCCCGTCATGCTGAATCGGGGTTTTTCGCTCCCAAGCGCCTGAAGCCGCTCTTGTTCGCCCCACGATACTATACCGGTAGCGCTGGACCCGAGTCTTATGCATGGGGTTCTGCTAATTACGCGGTGCACGCGGAATCGCCAAAGTTGATCCGAGCGTACAACTTGATCGTCGGGCTGGTTTCGATTCGAAGGCCTCTCTATTGAGTGTATCGGGTATTTCCCGTCCTCTGCTCCGATGCCTATAATTAGACAGATTGTGAGAGAACAGCGCCCATTTGTTTTTCGACGAAAATACGGAAGTACTATCCGAAGTTTGTTCGATTAATTAACGCAGAACGCTGAAGGGAGAATTTGCTCTGGAGATTCTCCGGGCTGCCGAACACTGCGGAACTGGCGGTTCTTGGAACTCAGACAATGCTCGGAGAGGCGTTGAAAGCAGATAGCAACGAATAAAGTACACCGCATTATCCATACATTTCTTCTCGCGATTAGTTGAGAATCGATCTCGTTGAGACAAACGTTTAATTCATCCTGCTTTCCCATGTAAGCCCAGACTTTCGACGAGTCGTCGATTGGCCCTGGCCAATTACGAGAAGCCAGCTGGAATCTCTCGCTGGAGCATCATGTTTCCCCTCGATTCTCTCTCTCCCACCGGATCGGTTGTTCCAATGAGAATGAGATCGCTCTGTTTTTCTGCAAGAAAGACCTTGGTTGAGCTCGATCGGCCGTTGCCCCGTAAACTTACCTCGACATCTGCTGGAGTACGGTTGCGGATTTTTCGGTCTCCACTGGCTTTCCGATGGTAATCAACGACTGTGACATTAGAGGCAGCAAACTTCCGCCCAAGAAAAAGTAAATTCGGTCCACGCGAGTCTTTATCACAAGTCTTTATCAAGTCTTTACCGCCCAAGTCTCCGGTACGATCGGAACAATTCGTCCGAGCTGCCGCTATCCGAGCGACTGATGAATACCTTCATATCCGCGATAGATTTTCGATCAACATTTTGGAGAACGTCGGATCGATCTAAAGCAGCGCTGCTCGAACGTCTGTCCCATCCGCCCGCGCTGGCTCTCTGCGGTCAGTCTTCATCTAAATTCCATCGCTATAATTAGTCTCGGTGGATCGCATTCAGTCATCGCATCTTGAGTACCGCGCGATGCTTTGGCGGAAGTTTTAATCAAGATATGCCGCGCATGGAATGATATTCCAACTACGACTTCCCTGAATAATCAGCTGGGGACTCGCTTCACGTCAAAACACCAAGATGATGTAGTTCCGCCCTCGCTCAACAATTAGTTCGCTCCACATAGACCCTATGAACCCCCTATCCATAATGTGGTGCCCCGCGGGGTGTCCCATATAATCCTATAGATCTAAAGGGATCCTCGCACGACGGTGCTTCGCTAATGAACCGAATTACAGAGGGCGTATCTCAGATGTGGGGAAAAATCGGGATCCGAGAAGCGACCAGAGTCAAAACGTGGTCTTGTCTCAGGTTATCACTGTAACAGAATGATCTCCGGAGAGGACGGAAAATTCTCTTCATAAAGATGGCTTAGGCCGAAGCTGGGATTTCCGATGCGACTACCTCCGATAGGAAACAGATATCGAAGGTAGGCGTCGAACCCCAGCCCCTAGCCCTTCCGTGACGGTCGGGTGGTCGAGTGCGGAGAGAAATAACCCAGCAGTAATTTTCTTCGCTTCTGTAACGTGAGCATCGTCGGCCCGATGTCATGGGCTGCCGAGTAAAGAAGTATGTCTATTAGCGAAAATTTCGACAAGGTCGATCCCGAGGAAGAGAAGCATCGATGAGAGAAAGAGCGACGACCTGCCGAGGCGGTGCGATCTGCTGTATCCCTCGGGTCTCCCTCAGATATGCCTGGGTAGGGTCGCGAGATCTCAGCCGTCACAATCAGGCAAAGTGGAAGGGAGTCGAATTCATGCTGATGTAGCCGGACAGAACCAAGAATCAAGATTGCAGGCACAAAGAGTCGCTTATCATAACTGCCGTCGGAGGAACGTGACGGTTGTACCAGGTATGGCGCTTCTGGGAAATCCACGGAGCGAAATCATGATTCCGTCTATTGGCCTCGTCTGAGACCGGATAGCAAGGTTTTGATCGGTATGGGATGAGCATGTACAGTGGACCGCGTGGTCCGTAAATGGAATTAGAGAGCATTCAAGCTCGGTGAGCCGAAAGGTGACGGACCATTTTTACTGGCCATGTTCATACGGAGCGGGAGGCATGATCCATCCCGCTTCGAATCCGCAATGATACTCTCCGAGCTTCCGTGCACATCGTCTCGGCATTCGAGCACCCTCTCCCCCTATCGATATGGTGGCTCATGGATTTGGCTGAAAACGTGCGGGATACAAAGGAAAGGAAGGCAAGAGAGAGTCTATAGAATCGAATTCCCGCGATCTCGCTATCCCGAAGAAACTTTAGAGAACCCTCCCGGACCCTGTCATAAGGAGATTGTGTACCTTACCCGCTCATCTCCTCCGCTTGCCCGACTAGTCAAGAGAAGGATTTTGTCATTCGTCCTCCCTCTGTCAGACAATCGAGCCGAACAGCTTCAAGACATTCCGTGTCTGCGTTCTCGAGTTGTGAAAAACCCAAATCCAGCCCATTGCACGGTCTCTGACATGAGTCTGAAGCTGTCTCCTTGCAGTGCCTGACCCAGTCTGGTCGATCCTCCCGGAGGAAGAGGGACGATCATGACATCCCCCAACCCACTCGAAGGTCGCGTTCAGCGGTGCGATTTGGTGAAATAGCGTCTGGCGCGGGCCCTGGTATGGCCGCCACCATCGAGTTCCTCCTTGCCCTTTTCACCCGGGGATTCATTTTCCACTGACGCTTAAAACAATTTTCCAGCTCACTCTTAGGAGATGGCGTCTCCAGTTTACGGAACGTCTCGGTTCTCCAGGCCTCTTACTGAGTCTCCCCTTCGCTTTGCGGCCTCATTCCGCGGACGAGACATCCGTGATCCGTCATCTTCGGGAGAAGGCGCAGCAGGAGATTCCGGTTAATGTTTGATACTTACGTAGGATGCCCGGATGTCCTCTTTATCAGTCAAACGATTAGGTCACGTTTTTGTCAAGAAGCTAAGCGAAGGTCTTCGCGAGTGTTGAGAAAAAAATCCCTAAGGCAAGGCGTGGCAAGTGTCCTCATGAAGCGGTCGAGGTTTTTGTCGCTCTCCAGTCGGTCGTGTATCATTTCCCTCCGGAACCGGTCATATCCATACGGATCGCCATTTTCCCAGTCTCCGTCCACGTGACGGGTCCTCAGACCTCATTTCCGAGTCTACGGGTCGAATCATAGTGAAAGTTGCGAAGAAGTGGCAGATTAAGGCGATACAGTCTCGCCAACCTCAAACTCTATCCCTGACTAGTCCACATCGGCGTCGAATCGGCCGCCACTGGGAGTTCCTCGTCAGATATTCGGCCGAGCCAGGTCTCTGCCTCCGCCTCCCCTTCCGGAACATGGAGGGCTCCTCCGAACAGCAGGATACCCACAGACCGTGGTCTTTTCGATACCGGGGAGAATTCTTACATTTCTGCCCGAGTTCGAATGCTCGCTCTCTACATTACTCGCTCTTTTCAGCTGCCCGTGAGTGTCAGACCTCGTACATTCTAGCTGAAAAGCTCAATCAACAGATGCGACGAGGGATCTCGGTTGTCAATCACTCAGCAGCGCATGCTACCTCGAGCCGAGGTAGACAGACCCAGGTAGCGCGCTTTCACTAGACTAGTAGTGGGCCTCTACCTTGCGGAGAATCGGGAGTGCCGAATGAATTTCTTCGATTTCTTTCGGGTGTTGACAGCTAATGGAGTGATGATCATGAACCATGACTCATCTAGGTGAATCAGAAGCTCCGGGTCGAGGAAACCACCCTTCTCGGATCTGGCGGTGGGACGATCAGGACCCGATGTTGCCAAAACATCCTTGCGAAAGAGCTGCTGGCGATCTGCACGAGTTACTGAAGGATATCTCACAGCAACCGACGGAGTTTTAAAGCGTGAACCCAGCTTTTTCCAAATGTGGAAGTAATGGTTTCCGGTTTCCCTCGCGTAGAGAACTTGATATCGACTCGCTCGAAGCCGATCCTCGGATACCCTCCCTCGCAGCGGATGTTTGCTCCTCGAGGCGAGAAAATCGCACCACGGAATGGAAATCTGGCGCGCAGATGGAGAAGGCCCCTCTCGTCTCTCGTTTTGACCTACGCGCTCGATAACAGCTTGCACGCACGCGGATGTTGCCTGCGTACGTCGTCATAGATCGCCACAGAGCGGCTGAGTGAGGAGCGGCGCGGCGTGTACAGGTGTCCCTCAGAGTGTCAGAAGAAGAAAAATATGAATTTCTTCGACCAGCGGCTCGGAAGAGCGTCCACCTCTGACAGAAGTCCAGAAGACGTGAGCTGCCGGCACTTCGCAGCGAAAATTTTCCGCTTCTTCTCCGGTGAGTTTCCGAATCCGCTTCGGACCTCTATCGCCAATATCGAGTGAAATCCTGAGTCGGGAGCCTGACCGGAGAGGCATCTGTGAAATACGTCGACACCTCGGGAAGAAGATATTTCATCGAAAGGCTAGCACTCATTCGGGTGGTGCAGTCATTTTCCTGCAGGCATTGGGTGGAAATCAAGCTCAGGGTTTGATTGTGGATTGTCGTTTCTAGCGAAACACTCAATGCAGGAATGGAGCTCCTTCTTGAGAGATCTCTACTACGCGGGAGAAGCGAATGAGTCAGTGGCATATTACGTCTTCGAAATCGTCGGCGACCATGCCGAGGCTTTCGGGAGGACCACACAACGTAGACTCAACGCTACTGGAGGCTCGGTGAGAATCAAATTTTCGAGACGCAGTTGCAGCGGGGATTTTCCAACCCTCACGAATCCGAGTACGGGATCAGCTCCCTCGATCTATTTCCTAGGGCGGATCCGAAGTGGTCGATCTCCGCCCTTATTCGGAACTCTGGATGGCGTTTCTCGATAGCCTGACCCGGAGAACCGAGGCCCCGTACCTCAAGAGTCGACCGGTTTTCGCAAAGACGCTCGTTCGTGTGTGTTTGAACTTCTGGACCGAAAGCATGATCCTGAACAATGAGAGCACCTTACTGCCGAATATGATGAAGTTGGTCGCGCGACAAATCGTAAATACCAGCTTCCGTATATTTCCGCAATATGGGTTTATGAACTTGAAGTCTCCGGCTTCTAGTATTGAGACGCCTTCACTCGAGTCATTTATATCAGACATCGAATTCGCAGTTCGAGTACGAGGAGAACACAGAGCAACACCAAGAAATGGAGAAAATCATCAAAACCTTCGATGCTTTGCCCCGCGCGCCACGTAGAAGAGCTCTCAGGAAACTCGGGCAGGTGTTTTGGAGAGTCGTGGTTACGGAATCCTTCGTCGAGCACGTACTTGCTGTCCTATCATGTGACACAACCTCGAGAGCAATCGTTTCGGTAAAAGGATCGGGAAGAGTCTCATATCAGCCTTAGTAACAATCCCATGTCAGGTCCACAAGATCATCGGTGAGGCTTCATCCAGGACTGCAGGGTATATTCGTTGTTCCAGATGGTAGATTGGAAAGTCGATATCGAGGCTAAAATGGTCGAGTTAAGCTTCTCGGATAAGAGGAGACGAGCCCTGAGCGCTTTCCTGTGCAAAAATTTAGGGCCGAAAATCATCTCGAAGGTGGGTAGGCGATTGCTCTCATCCTACCAAGCAGATGTACCTAATGACAACTCTCCTTACATTCTCCGTCGACCGGCATTTTGGAATAGCGTCGGGGTGACGAGAGATACTTTACAGGAATTTGACGAAATGTCCCTCGTTTTCGAGAAATTGGAACCTCTTCTCAATGAAACGACGACTCCCACCCATCTCGCAACTCAGGTTTGTGCTTGCCCGCGCTAAAACTTTGCGGACTTTGCATAAATATGCATTATATAATCAGTAAACCATAAACTGTATTAACAGCCGAGGTCCGCTCTCCTCAACCCGACTACATATTACAAAGCTCACGGACGTGAGTACCAAATCCATATTGCCGATTTTCGCATCGCTGTTCACTTGGTCCGCCGAGATTCTAAACATTCCCTTTTCCCCCAAGTTTTCCCGGGACTGGACGGATGGATGAACGATCACACGACCCTCAGACTGGCCTGTGGCGCAAGCATAGACAGGATTGACAAATGTTGGCTAGAAGGGGTCAAACGATATGTTCCCGCTCAGATTAGGTCGTTTCCGACTGGGAGCTCTCTGCTCATCACTGATAGCGTAAGTCAACGCAACAAAAGGAAACCTCGGGGATTCTAGCCCTGCCTAACACAATTCGAAATCCTTTCTGATCACTCGGATGCTTCGCCTCCTCAGAAAACATACTGCGACTTCTACTACGACTCGTGGTCTTCCTACTGCAATCATTTACACTTCCATGGCGTTTTAATGGCCCATATGTATCTCGAACCCGAAAAAGACGGGATCCTCGATGATCTCATTGGATTCTGGCAAAAGCGGGTTATCGAGCCTGAGCGTCCGAAGCTCTTCGGGCACATGGGTGTTCTATTCCGAGAATACTTCGCCGTAAGTTTTCATCCACAGTACATGAAGGGAATTAACTCCAAAAAATGATTCAGGAGAAAACCTTGGATCTCATAAGCGAAATCCCTCTCAGGGTTTCGGGCCTGACATTGATGTGAAGCTGCTGTCGATTGTCAACTCCTTCCGCTATTTCAAATCGAAGAGGGATATCGACGACTTCCAGAAATATTTCTCCACCGAAGTATTGCAGCCGTTCGCGGACGATGTCTTAGAAGCAACGCAAGGCTTTCCCGATTCTTTCGTAGTCGCAGAGAGGGTCGGTTTTGCCCACGGGCGACGCAACAGCCACGTATTCGATACAACCTGATCTTTCACAGGAGCTACTTGACTTCCGATAATCCGTCCTCTACTGGAGGCCCTAACTGTTGTTTCAAGCTCGGTTAATCACTCGCGGTCCCTCCCCCAGATCTCGGAAACCGTGCTCCGATTTGAGAGAGCCCGCAAGCAATTGGGTTTCGATGTTTCAATATTCCGAGAGTCCAAAGAGAAGTTAATGAAACCATATTACGAAATACTCAGCCTTAACGTGAGGAAAACCCTCGTTTTCTTTCCATACTCATATCTCGTATCTGATGGATACTGTGGTGATTGAAGGCCTTCTCCGACGTTCGACAGAGAAGCATTCCTGTTTCAGATTGACAGGTGGATTCGAAAAAGAGATGTTTCGGCCATCAACTTGACGTGCATGGCGGCATGTCGTGTGGACATGCCGGAAGCGAAGAACTTCTTCACCAAAGTGAGTTCTGGGGGCTTACAGCCTCTTGAGGGCAATCAACGCAGGCACTGCAGGACAGTCTCGGAAATTTTTAATCAGGTACATAGTGACCACTTCTCGGTGTCGACAGATGGAGAGCTCACTCGAGAGCCTCGGGCTGGAAATGCTGGAAAGATACATGGTCCCTGGAGTCGAGAACGATTGTTCAGTGTTCTCCGAAGCATTTTCAAGGTGAGTGTAAGCTCCAATGACGGTACTTCACGGAATGAAAGCGAACCTTATTTCGGAAATCTCCCCAGAGCGGGCCGAGAAATGATTGATTTCAAGGAAGCAATTCAACAAATCACCGTGAGGGAAGCCATCACAGCTGCGTTCAGTCGTGCAGCTAGCTCATTGGCGGTTCGGCTGGGCACAACAAGTAAGATTCGAGTTTCTATTCGGTGCTTGAGTCATCGGACATTCCGCGCGATTTGGTGGAAACTCCCGATGGTTTGTGGATATACCGTCCGCTAGCAGCTCGATAGCCCGCCTGCTCCTTCTGAGGTTGAACCGAAGTACTCGTCCCGTGAGAGACCCGCCGCGATACTGGAAATCTTTATCCTTTTCAGCTCACGACTCATTTGCGAAATATCTCGCGGACAAACTGCAGATAGAGCCCACCTCTCTATTGCATGGCTTGATTCCGATCTCCACTGCATCTGAGAGGGCGATCCTAGATGAGCTCCTGCAGGTAGCTTCGATAGTCGCCTTCGTGGCGGCCGCAGACACATTCTCGAAGCGCTACGCATGCCCGGCTATAACGAGGATGATGACCGACATGTCGAAATCCTGCGAATTGGAATGCCGACTGTTGACACAGCTCGAGGGGACAATTCATTATAATTTTACAAACTTGCCAAAACCAGAAAAGAATCTTAAGGTATCAGAAAACCTTGGAGTGAGAGAAAGCGATCCTGGTTTTCGGACAGTCAATTGTCCACCGTTGAGGGCCCTGTTGTGACTTAAGGAATTTCTCTTTAGATTAAAGCAGAAATATATCTGTCCGTCACAAGGTTCCTGATGAGCCATGCCGTCGCCAGTGAAGAACGCATGCGGATCCTACCCTCTGTTTTTGGATTCGAGCGCGCAGATACGGATCCAGCGCCGATTGACGAAAACAGCGAATCTGGCCTGAATGAAATCTCCAGGATTCTGAAAAGTTTCAATGAGTGGGAGAAACTTCGGCTAAGAGGGGTGGTGGACCCCCAGATCCCCGAGAGGACTCGAGGGGCTCTGACTTTCGACGGGGTCGAATTGAACATACGCGTGCTTCCACAGCGTCATCTTCCTAATAATTGGTCTCGAAGACAGACCGCTTTCATTCCCGCGCCGATCTTCCAACGGATCATGAACAGCTTCGCGATTTTATACAAAGTAAGTCCCAAACTATGCCCCCTATACGTTTCTGGAAGAATTCTCGGGGGAACCAAATTCCGTTACTGAAGGTGCCACCCCAGGATTGAGGGAATATTCGAAATCATTTCCGTCTTACCGCAGATCGAGCAGCCCCTAAGAACGCTGAATTGGCTCCAATTCATCCCCACTGTCCTGATGCGATGGGAGTTCACATCCGATCAGCGAGTCTACTTAGTACGGTGTAACACATTCTTCGCGAGCTTGATGCTCTTGTTCCAAGACACCGATGAAGTATCCTTTGAGGCCATGATGCAAAAAATGAATATGAGCCAGGCTCATCTGAGGATTCTAGTCAATACACTCATAAAGGAAAGAGTGAGCCCCTCCCCGAAACAGATCAGCAGATATCCAAATTTTCGATCGGAAGATGAAACCCGGGAAAAAATTTCTCGATGAGCAGACGTCCGAGAGAAGAATTTTGAATCCTTCCAGATCATCTTGAGGAAGAGGAAACCTGAAGTCGAAGAGGAAATACTCATTTTGAATGCCGCTTTCCACTCAACGGAGACTCTCCTCGAATTTCATGATCTTCCGGTAAAGTATCATTCGAAACTCGATATAGAGACGTGTCCCGGAACATTTGATTGTTGATCGATTGTCGCAATTCGGGGTGAATTATAGGAAGGAGAAGTACCCCATGAGCCGACGCAGGCCGAGGTGGTCCGAGGAGGACAGGGCACGAACCACCTGCTCGGTATACAAGCAATTATGGCACGCATCGCTAAAAGAGCAGGCCGGATTCCGAGGAGGCAATTGATCCAAGAAACCATCTGGAGGGCTGCGCCCAAGTTCTGCCCGGAGCCTGAAGCTATATTGGAAGCCATACGAATCCTGGTTAGATCGCACTACCTCCAGCTCGACGACAGTGAAGACGTATTCATCTACATGACCTGAACTCCCGATTCGGAAACCAGATCCTGTCGATTTCGAGGAGACTCGTTATTTATTCATCTATTTATTCATACATTTAAAGATACGCTCGTGCCCTCCCGAAGCCCAATATAGAGCGGGTAGGAGGCTGCGTAGATCGACAGGAACGATTCGAAAGGAGAAGTAGATTGTGTAGAGATGTTTGAGAGAAGGATCAAGGTTTAGTTGAACATGACATGGTCACTGAGACAGATGCACCCTAGAGCGACTGATTCAAGGGGTGCTTGTGGAGAAACGCGAGTGTACATATATAAAACTTGTGGACAATGTATGTATAAGCATGTATCCTGAAGGAGCTCTTCATTCTGTAGAATTTTCATTGAGTCCTCCGAGGAGCGTCCCCCTACATATGGGGTCAGTCGAAGGAGAGGAATGCTGACGGCTAGAATTCTCGTGACCTACATACACCCGCAGGAGTCTCCGTTGATCTCCATTATCGAGGGAACAGATCACCTCAATGTCCTTCATTCTTTTTTCTAATACTCAGGCGCTTCCGAAGCTCCCTTCCGTGAATACAGTCCTAGTCATCAAGATTCCGTTCGGAGCGTCTGCATTCGTTTGACCATCGCAGGAGGATCATTCTTCTCTCGAGAGCCGAGGCTCCCGCTCTGTCCTTGTTCCATGGAATGCGACCCGTGCATCAGCAGCCTCCTTCATAATCACTAATCACCGAAACACGGGGGTTCTCGCCGGAAACCTCCTCCGAGAGCCTCGTGAGTCATGAGACTCCCAGGTCCTCGCTTCCGAAAGAGTGCCGTCCCAATGTCTAACCGCGTCTGATCACGGTGCTCTCGAGTAGTTACGTCCCATCGCTCTTAGCTTCCAGGTCCATTCCGATACGGGAAGTTGAGACAAGGTCGGCAATCGTCTCATAGGGCTGGAGCCTCCCCCGAGTCACATCAGATAACTCGAAAGAGCCCGGGGAGCTTTGGGGACTAGGAAGAACCCGAAAGCTTCTCCGCATTTTCGAGTCCCGCTCCTCGGTGTTCATTGAGAGGCGGAGCTCTCGGGCCAAACTCGGGCCCTGCCAGGACTCATTGCGCTGCAAATTTTCTCCACGGTGATTCGTCGTGCATCGCCCTCAAAAAATGTGCATCGTGGGATGTTTCGCGAAACGTCGAACTCACTCGAGCTGATGAAGAGGTTGTAAACAAGTCTGGATCTGCCTGTGAAGTGTCCCGAAGCGAAGTGATAAGATTGTGTGATTTGATGAGACTAGGATGATGGATCCGGTTAGCGAGGACAAGGATTTGTACGAGGACGATATCACAACCCAAATATTCTCAGGTGAGCCCGCTGTCGTACATGAGCTCAACGCTAGGCACTTCGATGCATGAGGCAGGAGATCGCCCTCCGAGAGCAAAATGCCGATCATCCACACGATGGAACATATAACCCCTCCGGGATGTACTCCTAACCAGTTTCACCGAGAGGGTTCAGAACACAGGTGTACGAATATCATCAATCATCAGTTCCATATGCAAGAACCTCTACTTGCCGAGTTATGGAGTATTGGTGTGGAGGGTCTGGAAATGAAGTTACAAGCTGGTCGATCGGACGGGCCCAATGTATCGGCTCAGAAGAGTTTGCGCTCCCCCAGAACCCGAAATGCGATTTCTTCCCCGCTTAAGCCAAGCTCATTCTCGTTCAAGGTTCTTTGAGTAGAGACCAATACAATGCGGCTATCCAAGTGATCTATCATCTTTGTGCGACAAAAGATTGCCTGGAAAATACTTACCGTACTCTGTGCTCAGATCTGAAGCTTTACTCGCAGAATGCAGTCAAGCGCATGTTGAAACATACGAGCGATGAGGTGAATTCAAAGCTTCAAATGTCATAGTTTCGCCGCATCCGACCAGCCCCAAAAATAATTCTCGGAGCTGATCGCTTGTCTAAGCGCCGCTACCCGTTCTCAGCCTTTCCTGATCTCTTTCCGAGAAGAATGGATGAACTACCGGAGAATCGTCAACGTCGTCCAAGGCGTGTTCCATCATATGGACCTTCAGATTACGATTCAACGGAACTTTGGAGCGAAACATGAGAATAAATTCCGGTCAAAACACCTCGCGTGTGATACGTGGCGAGACGTCGTCTTATCCCGGATCCAGAATGAACTTATTGCCAGACTCATGTCGGTCATCAGACTTCAGAGAGCGGAGGTTTGCATTCACCCTTCTTGGACACCATTCGAAGCTTGAATCTATCTAGTTCTTACCGTCAAAACAAGGAGCATCGGAGGTCCTTCCTAACGATTCATGCGTTTCTTCACCAGAGCGACAGGACGTTCCACAGCGATATACCGAAGATGGCAGAAGCAATCTTGGACATCGAGGACTTTTTTGTCGGCCGAATCGAGATCTACGGGCACTACAAGCACGCCTATGCTGTCGAGTTGGAGAAGCATTTTTGGTGTGACCGAACCTGGAGTCGGAAACCGGAAGAATATTTCGAGCAAGTTCGTGGGGGACTATTCTTCATCGGCTGTATTTTCTTTACTTCGAGGGAGATCGATCCCTTCGGGAACTTCTACAAAGAGATTCTTCCCCCCCCTCAAAAGAAAATACTCACGAATACGTTATTCAGATATCGGAGTTCTCAGTTCAAGGAGTTCCGAGAGAAAGAACGAGCAACAGAACGTATCTTCGCGTATAAGATGGACTCATTCCTGGACAAAATCTTCCGAAGCCTCCTGCTCGGCAGCGAGCCGGGTCCAATATACGGGATGGTATGCTTCTCTCAGATTTGGAATATTCTCTGTATAATCCGCCCAAGATTGAGGCTCTGATCGCGACGTACATTCTAGCTCAAGACGGCGATCACCAGCTTCAACATCGGGGAAATCTTCAAGTATTTGGATTGTCTGCCGGATAGGGATAACATTCACGTCACGCTCCTTTGTAAAGCGGTGAGTTAGGCGAGTTTTTCCATCGTTTATTCTCTGTCGAAGGATGGTCTAAGAGCCTAGTGATGGGAGTTCTGGTATCGAGAGCCCCAGATCCGGGGGCTATTCGACAACGACTCTGCGTGGTATGAGTCACGGGTTTCCGCTTCCACTTCTAGCTGAAGGAGAGTCTCCCGCTTCGGCTACAAAGATATTACGGGGAGAGTTCTTCCGGTCTGATACCTGGGGAAATCTTCGTGAGAACCTTCTACAAGTGAGTAACCCGCAGCCTCGGCGCTCAACCAATCTCTGATCCAATGAAGGATAGCTCCCGGAGAACACTCGTACCCCACATCCGAATCCAAAATTTCTCGCTAGGCTCCACTGCGATGTCTGCAGAATCCTCGATGGGGTGCTTCGAGGTTGCCCGCAAAGCCTGGATCTGTATTCCGATATCTCTTCAGCAGCGGTCCAACTGATGGAGGCTCATTTTGGGTTGCCTTGTGAGTTCCAGTGTGCACTCTTTCTTTCATGATAGATCAGTGTGACTTCATATTATATGTATCCGATGAGCATCCGACAATCCGAGAGTATAGGGACGAGTGAACTCCCACCTTGCATGTATTCGCCTCGGAGAGAGAAAGAACCCAGAGTAACTAACTTCGATCAACAGCGGCCCATTTATTGTCGACATTCTTCCAAAAAACCCTCCAAAGCGTCTTCGAGGATGACACCGAATACAACGATGTGGCCAAGAGGGTCTCATTAGGCTCGATGGCAGCCAAATTCGTGACGGACGTGGATCATCTCAGAAATGAGTACTTCCAAAATTTACTCGCTCGACTTCTGGAACGTCGCTGTCCCGATAGCGACATCGAGTGGTTCGCACTGGATCAACTCCAAATGGTAATCATGGGCACTCAGTCGGCGTGAGATTGATCTTCCTGTGCCGATATGGTCAGAGGACGACGCCGACGCTCCGGATTCTGATCATCCCTCCGCCGAAGAATCGAACCTCCATGTTTCCCAATATCTCTGATGACATATTCATCATATCCGCTCTGTAACCAGGCACTCGGGAAACCTTTTACGGTCGACATGTCGAGACTTCTCGAGGACATAAGTCAGAGCAGGGATCTCAATCGCTTCTTCAAAGAGTATCGCTCCAAACGGGACAAGAATAAAGCACAATCATACGATTACGAACTCGAAATGATTGTCGTCAGCGCTCAGTATTTGAAACCTAAAGCCTCGTCTTCGCCGCTAGCCTTGCTTCCACCACTGGTTGAAGAAGACATGGTTTTCTACGGGAAGGCTTTCCTCGCGAAGGTTGTACAGATATGTGTTTTCAAGCCTCGTCAGACCCAATATTTTCCCTTAGGGATCGGAGGAGGAGCTAAATTGATTATTATGCTCTAAATAAATTTCGATTCTCACATCCCAAGGACGAGAAGCGCCGAAGTGAGCCAAAAGGAGCGAATAAGTCGCTAGGGAAAAAAATCACTTGGGACCGCAGCATGGCTACGGCTGACGTCAAGGCGAACTTCTCACGGGACGGTCGATCGTACGTCTTGAAATGTCCTGCTTTCACTGCGATGGTCCTGCTCCTGTTCCAAAACGAAAACAAGCTGTCCATCGGATGCATACAGAGACAGACGAAATTGAGTGCTACAGATCTGAACAGCGCTCTCCGGCAGCTCTTCTTCGCAAATGTTGGTTCGGATTTTGAGATGTAGTTTCAAATCATGGTCGATTCTCCGATATTCGGAGCTTGATCATTAATTGTTCAAGGAAGAATTGAGTCTAACCGGAAACACTGTCTCGACTGTCTCCAGATTCTAAGGGAAGAGGAAAACCGAGACGTCGAGAACACATGCTGCGAAGTATCCTTGAACTTCGACTTCAAATCCCCGTCGAAAGTGGTGCACCTCGATGAGTCCCGAGTAAGTGACTGTTCGAAACGTCATACGCCTCAATGAGTTGCTCTTTCCGTGACATCATATGTATGGGCGGCGGAGCAGCTGATTATGATATTTTCCCCCAGGTCGCAAAACCTGTATTAAAACCTGCCAGCGATGCCGAGAAGCAGATCTATACAGAAGCTCTGCTGATGAGGATTCTTAAGAGATCGGAAAGCCTCAATTGCGACGCATACATAGATCAAGCTCTGAAAGCCAGTCGCATGGACATCGATCTCGATATCATTTCGAAAAGCCTCCGGACACTCGTGGAGAGGGGTTACATAGAACGTCGAGGGTCATCGTATCATTACTTGGCTTGATGGGACCATTGAACGACCCTCTCATCCATCAACCCGAGGCTCTGTCGAGCTTAAATAATGTCACACGCTGCTTTAATAAACCTAATCTAGAGGAGGAAGGCATCGTGATCTCCTTGTCTGGGCCGCGATTTCCACTTCGGGGGCTCGGAGAGTCGGGCTCCAACACGTTTTCTGTATCCTTCGCTCGATCGCCTCCCCGTGTCAGGATGCTCGCGCATCCGTCGTCGTGCTGACAATCGGAGCGAACTCAAGACCAATGTATTATTCAGCTAGGCGACACTTGGACGGGTTCAACTAGATATCGGTTTCCCCCTCCTGACTTTCATTTAAATGCGAGAATCATCTTGTGTAGACCTGGGGTCAGGCTCATGTTTGAGACCATCATCTTTGTGCGCGAGCGCCCCTATTCAGCACAACATCACAACCGGTAAGAGTCTTCCGGATTGATTTGATGTTCAGCGGCTCTAGACTCTAGAGGTCCGACTCCACCAATCTTCTGTATCCCGTTGTATAATACTAGTTCAGAGCTGGAGTTGCGCGTAATCGCGTCAACTCTCTCGAAATGTCAATTTGCTTATTATGTACCGATTAATTCAGAACCGATTTATCACTGTCAATAAATTCTACCATGTTCGAGATTCGGGAGTTTTCTCTCAAGAGTTCGTATGAATAGCGATCGGAGTCGGCGGAAGCTGTACCTGCAAATATCGAGCAATCGAGAGCTCCTTCGCTCAGTTCCCTCGCATGGCGCGGCGGTGGGGGAATCAAGACGCTTCAGTGCTCTCAAGAAATACGATCTTTCTCTAATCCCAACGGCACTCAAACGCGTGTCGCTTCTTCCAGGACGTCTGATCTTGCCTGAGGTTGCCACATATGGAGGCGAGAACATCTGATGTAGAGAGCGATGCTGCACTAGATATGGTGGAGGCGAAGTTGTCCTCTATGGAAGGCGTTCGCATTCACCTTCTGGCCTCATACTTGCGATAGGACAAACTCTTCGAGGCTGGAAATTTGTGAGGAGCGGAATCACCTATATCTCGTGACGAAAGGATTCCTCCAAGAGAGTTCCGGGGTGTGGAATTTCACGCGGCGATCCGTCTCCGAGACTCCACTCAATTATAATAATTCTTATTTCGGGCTGGAAACAGAGCGCGGTAGACTGGCGCCCCTTCAATATCCATGTTGAAGAAAGGCGCGGATCTCCGGCATTCAGATGCGATCCAGCTCTGAATGAGGTTCTCCGCCAATCCATTACAGGAGGACTTGTCGAATGAGGGTGAGACCATTACCACCCGCCATAGATTATCGACCCCGCCCACGATCAGATGAACGGGTCTCGTGGTGATTCGGCCTCGCGTCTTCGATAAGCACACTCAGCGAAAAAAGTTGGACAAACAGCCCATTCGAGAGAAGACCCGAACTGAGAGAGGTCGTGCCGAACTGATGATGGATGCTCCTGCGGTGAATCGTGAATCTCCTAACGAGGAGCCTCCTGAACAAACTCGACGCGACCTCCGTCATTCCACAGCACAATTGATCCGCTTCTCCCAGCACGCATCTGACAACAAAAGCCGTGGAAGCTGACCGACAGGCGCTCCGTGAACGTGGAGCGTCTAGTTCACAGAAAGCATAGAGGCAAGGGGAGATTTCTTTCTAGAAATTCTCTTTCGCGGAGTTTCCCCACGTCGAGGGCTGAAAACTAAGTTCGAGCTCATTCCCGTCAATCTGTGGCCCAGCGTTGGGGAAAGGGATGAATATTTCATGAGGGGGGGAGGGTTTCCTCAGTGAGTGTCTCCCACCTGGAAACCCTTAGGGGCGCTTCTCCATCTCTCGCTGCGGGTCCCGAGGGGACTCTGATTTTTCGTTCACTTATCGAGATGAGCATTCGACAGCGAGGATTTGCCGCTGTGCTTGCGGAGAGCGGGCGTTTTTTTTCGCGAAGCCGAGGTTCTGGACTGCGCTTCCAGATGGTTCAATGCAGGCCCCTATGGACGTCCAAACTGGAGCTGGAAACGCGTCTCTTCGCAAAGCCCATCTGTCGGCCGATATGACGACGCGACGTTTGAAGAGCTTGTTCTCTATCGAAACCCGCAACTCGGTAATGAACGAAACCACACTGCAGATTATTCAATGCCAGCTAATACCAACTTTTTTTTCAATTTTCAAGAAGGTTCTTCTTGATCCATCAATCGCGGTGAGCCGATTCGGGGGTCAGCTGATGGTTCTCATGGGGTAGGTGAAACGAGAGGAAATGTTATCCGATCTGAACAGGCTCCCTGAGCAGAAAATTCCTCGATAGTCTGCGAAATCAGCGATCCTCTCCCGTACATGTTTCTGTGCTGACCTGTGGCAGCCCAGATCCGTGCCAGCGCCTGGGTCGCATCTCCATCATGCACTTTTCGAAGGCAGCGAATTGAGCCTCGTCGGTGATCACGGTTTTCATTTTGGACCTCAGCTCCTGAATCTTGGCGTCCCTTTGCTCGGGGGTCGGACGTTCTTGAGGACGCCCGCTCGGTCTCACGAAAACAAGTTTCACTTGATCTATTGTCTCTTGCGATAATCCGGCATCTTCAGCGCATTTGAAAACAGGCGGCCCTCTCCGATCGCCTCCGTCCACGACGACAATCACGGAGACTATCGTTAGGAGCCACTTCATCCTCGAACAGTCAGGGCTCATCGGGAGAACAGCTCCTCAGCGTGGGAGACTGGCAATTTCAGTTCCGAGAGGACTTGTCGGGCTTCTCGAAACGCTCGTGATGGAGAGTTCAATCGGTAGAGTCGACTCTGAAAAAAAGTATTTAAATGATCGTCGCGAACACGGGATCGAATCGTTCGATCGAGTATCAGTGATGGAGAGCTTTGTCACGCTGCCTTTCTATTTTTTGTCATGCCGTTTGCTGATGAGCTCCATTGGTTTTGGATTCTCGGCCGCTTCGAGTTAGCGGACGCTCCCCGACGGACTCTGCGACACGAGAGACACGTGCGCCCCTGAGTCCCACATGCAGTGGCGTAGCGAGCAGGAGTGCCGCCCGGGGCGGTGATTCGAATTTTCCTGTTTTTTCACCGTGCCCGACGAAAATGCCGCCCCCCGCCAGATATTTTCCTCGAAAACACTCCGTTTTTTGGGTGCAAATCCTCGAAATGCCGCCCCTAAAGGCTCCGTAGGAAGTGCCGCCCGGGGAGGTCCGCCCCCCCCGCCCCCGCCTTACTACGCTACTGCCCACATGCTCCGGCTCTTCCCCAATCACGAGGGTTCTGGGTTCGAATCATCGATTCTAGCAGTGGTCCCCCCATGCTCCGAGTCCTTTGTCAGTTTCGATTCCATCCTTCTTCGAGTGGAACAGAGTCTTGTCGGCGCAGACTGCACCTTTACTTCTCGATGGGGAGGAAAATTCTCGAGATGATTACTATCGGAGGAACTTGAGATCTCGAGCAATTCAGCATGTATTCTGCGCCTCAACCATCAGAGGTCTGTGAGAATGCCACTGAAGGAAAAACTTGTCTCGTCGAGCTGCTAGATTTTTTGCATGAATACCCGATCTCCGATACGCCGACTACACGTCGAATAAATTTTGAATATCACTGATGCGTATCCTAGTGAGAAACGAGAAATCAGATCACGGACAGAATCCTTTCACGTAAGGCGGTCACAACGCAAAAGAGATCGCCGGCCAAATGTTACCGCCGAGCCGCGGTTGGCAGTCAGAAGCATTGTCATGATCGCATGCAAGGGAATTTATTTCATGGAAAAGCTGAATCCTTATTGGTGTGAGCATGGCACCGATGTAACGCCGCGAATGGGACGCGAAAGAGACACGGAGCCTCAGTTGTCGAGATCGCAATGGGTAGGAGTCGTCGCGGATGCAAATGTGCCAGGAAAAAATGTCCACTCTTTTGCCTTGTTCATCGTCTCCTCTTGTATTCATTTATTAAATCCCCAACTAATGATTCATCACGGTGACGACAATCTTCCTGACTTCCTCGACCCCAATGTCGGTGGTAAGCCTGCATTCATCAAAACTCAAACAAAGGGAGAAGCATACACTCTCAAGAAAAATTCGAATGAATGGTATCACAATTATAGCAGAGCTGCCTTACGTCGTCCATCGAATTCCGCAATCAGGTGCCGGCGGGCTCATCCGAGCTCCTCGTGGCGGATTTCGACTCGCCCGATTCGACTGAGATCGATGCGAACTACTGAGGGAAGTAATCTTGGAAATGCCCTTTACGCCAAACTTTGCAGCGACCATTCTTATGGAACTTTCTGAACAGATCTTTCCTCGACGAGCTTCGTCCTTTGTTTCTGTTGAGCTTCTCGCATAGTTTGCATTTCCATTGGATGCTCTTAGCACGTATTCCGTTCCGATGACTGACCGTCCGACGGAAAAGTGAGTTATCTCGAAATCGATAGAGAGCTCGTGCCAACTCTCTCGGACTGGGATAGTCCGATGCGACCACGAAGCTCTCTCGCGGCAAGAACTGTCCGTAGTCGACGCCGCCCCACAGAATCGGGATTATGTCGTAGGGGAGAACGTTCTGGAATTTCTCAGTCACGTAATCGCTGCAAATCGAATTCTCGAACGCCAAGACGAACTTGTACCGGGGTAAAAACGTATCCAAACACTTCTGGTGGTCCGACTTGGGGCACTGCAGGTTATGTGGGGAGCAAGCTCCGATGATATCGACGGTCAGGTAATTTTGAAGTTCCTCTACGTAAGCCATGCGATGGCTTGAGGTTTTACAGTTGCTCACGAACCACACGGCCGCCCAAGCCTTTTCATCAGGCTGTTCTATCCGTGGCTCGTCGCTGGAATTCGTGCGGCACATCTCGAAGTAAGGCACTCGGATGTCGTCCAAGTGATGATAGGTCATACTCCAATTGAAAATGCCATCGAACTCCGGACGCAAATTCCGACTATTAGGCGGAGCCTCCTGGTTGAACATGATCCATCGCTGGGTGGGTTTCCGAGAGCCAGGGACGTCATTCAGAGACATATCGGCCTCATGGAAAATAATAGCGTCCGCAATTGACGCGGAATCTCTATCCGTGGTGAAGTCGCAGTTCTGATAGGGACAGTTTTCGGGCTCGGAAGAATCGAAGTTGGGATTGTCCCAGAGGTTGAAATAAGACGTCCATAATACAACAGTGAAGTTCCCAGACGTCTCCACAGGCTGTGTTTCGGCCTCGCACAGGGGGAGCGCGGCGCACGAGAAGGAACCTCGCCGAGGTAGGAAATGCACATAGAACAATATAAATGTTATCACGAACAATCCGAGGAATGCCGCCGGAACAACTCGCACCAGCCAACGATGTTTGAGAAGAGCTTTGACTAACATGTCCGAACGCTGTCCACTACACTGTGCACGTTCTCCGGCGGCGAAGAATCCTGGAAGGGAAGCGACAGTGGGAGAGAGATCCACGCACATGAATGATCTAACGTAAATTCTGACGATCAATGAGTCTCCAGACCGAATCCTCTAGTGATTTTTCCCTTCGTTCCGCATTTGACCGCCGAGTGAGAGAGAGATCGATGGCCCTTTGAGTCAATTTCGGATATTGTTCTTATCCCCTGATGAACCGCGCAGGGTCAAGTCATCTGGGGTGGAGAGTTTCAGTTCCAGAGATTAGAGGTGGCAATGGGAGGATGATCGGCCCCGAATCGTAGCGGCCAAGTCGCCGTGGAACAGGTACCGTATGGTATGAGTACTTTTTTCTCCCGGGGAATTTTAGCGAATCGGTGTCATCCGAGTGGAAGATGAATTCCAGCCCCCTCAACTCGGGAAGAAGACCAGAAACGAAAACGACTTCCTAGAAACGGGGAAGACACGCAGCCAGACTCGCGAGAACATTCTCACACTCTTGAAAAAGTTTTTGATTTTCAGAGAATGAGGGGCGATTATGCTTTGTTCGCAGCACCCGAACGGGAGATTTGTCTGAGCCGTAAAAACCCACTGAAAACTTACGGATCATTGCAGAAAATAGTTATGATAGTTTTGCGCGTTGAGTTCAGCCCAAGTCATTTCAACGAATTTCTGTGATGTCCCAGAGGCTTTCAGGCTCCGATGTTATAGAGCCGCTGTTCAGCCGGAGATGTTGTCGCTCGGATTCTGCCATTGCGGTCGAAGCCGATGGACGGATCGCCGGGAAACTAAAAACTCGGAGTCGACGCGACGCGAGAATTCGTGGTCAACAAAGAAAACAATCGTCTATTTCCGACGATATAATCGCAAGAGGAAAACGGAAACCGAGACATGAGATGCCGCCGCGTCGTAGCAACGCCCAATTTCCACAAGTCAGCATGAAGGGAAGACCCTGAGGGAAAAATTGAATCCCCAGCATGTTCGTGCAGAAACCATGCTCGAGAGCGACAAGCTGCATGGATGCGATTATCTCCTCGGAGATGTGATTTTTCTCTTCTTCATTCCGATTTTTTCTATTCTTCGATCGAGAGTCAGACAGAAACATGACTAGGATCGGGCTCGATGTTTGTCAGACCGCGAAAAATTCCCGACCGGAAAGGCCAATGTCCTGGTCTGGGGGGCTGTCCAAGATCATCTGGTAAACAAAGATAGAATACATCGCCAGACACCGCCAGCGAATTCATGTCGGTCAGAACATTACGTCATGGACAAATCCCAGAACACCGGGGAGCTCAAGGGCTCCGTCGACGCGGGTGTTTTTCTTTTTTTCACACCTCCGTTCCGGTAGTCTCCATCGGGCTCCAAGCTACGGAGCGGGACCTATTGTAACTTTATCGACTGCTGTCATTGGATCGTCAGCTCTAGCTTCCTGCCATGAATTCCCACTCAATCGTTCGTCGGGGAATAGAATCACAACCAGTTGATTTCGAACACAATTTGTTTCAATGATTTGAGCGACGGGAAATTGACGACATCGTTCTGCGGAAATCTTCTGGTGGAACAGATGCCAGACGGTAGCTGTTCCTCACACTAGATCTCACTTCTGGAATAATTCTCCGTAAGATCATAGCATGATGGAGACTCGGTTCCCGAGAGCGATTCGTGAATCCGAGCGGGGTGCATGGGAAAAAAATGGGGAACGATTGGAGACTAGATCGGGCTCTCGAACGAGATCTCCCGACCGACCATCGGATGTCCAGCTGAGTAACCGCTCAACTCAAAGGGCTCGTCTCTAGAGGGGGCTCAGAAGCAGTCTCTGACGGAGACGTTGTCAATCGATGTCGCTCGTGGGCTCATTCCCCAAGAAGGTAGAGCTCGGGAGTAGATGAAAAGGAATCAGGCAAGTCAACGAATAGAATTACCTTCCAAACGATCAGGGTGATTTCATGGGAGATGCGTTTCACGCAGAAACAGTTTTGGAGGTGTCACGTCGTGCACAAGGAACCATTGTCAAAACTTTTCCGATGCCTGTCACTGGCAAGCGAACGCGCGCGCGCGAGCGGGCGGCTGGACTGCCGTATTGTAATCCACACCGCCAGAGCCTTGGGTGCTGAAGGCCGATACCGAAGACAGCGGAAACGTGACAATCACGAAGCACTACTATGTCGGCGAGCACTTCGTCTAGACCCGTCCCTCGTTTGCCCGGCCAAGACTTGCCATTGGCTTGCCGCAAACGGCGAGGGGGAAAAACAAACAGCTAAGCTACTGCAAGGATTTCCGATGGACTCGAGGAGTATCGCGGATCCATGAGTGATCCCATGAGGAACCTATGCTAATTTCTGAATGAGCATCGGAAGGGCTTCACCCGATGACTGATTCTGACTCATAACCGGGGTTTCCTTCGAATCGCGGGAATATTTTCCTCGCACTGTTGTTTTGTCATCGTTGAGGGAAGGTCCACGGAATGAGATCGACGCCTCAGATGGAAGTGGTTCGAATTTCGGCCCTGGTTTTCTGTGCGGTTCCAGCCCTCCGAGGACCGGAGTTCAGGTCATTGAGCTGGAGCTTTAACGTGGGTTTCCGGAATCGATTGAGGAAGCAGCGAGAGATCAGACAATTATCATGGGGGAGTCAGAGCCAAGGGTAGACGACGGTGAGAGTTATGTCTCATGAACGCGACAGATCCGGATGATTTCTGGTGTCACTGATGCGTTCAGCTATTGATCCGTTCGGCAGAATCTTCAGTTCCGTCGAGCGGCTCCATAAACGCGCGGCGTCTCCGATTCGTTGCTCACTCGAGCATGAATTGATCAAATAACAAGGTTTCCTCGCAAGATCTTCAACTCGGTTTCCCCCTTCAGAAATACCTCATCCATTCATCAGGTTCAGTCGGTAATCGATGCGAGAGAGCTCGATAGGGACATCGGGGAGCTCTATCGGGTAAATGCCGTCACCAGCTGATCCACCAGCTGGTTTGAGCCCTTGTCTGATATTCTACTTCCGAGACCGGATGCCGAGAGGGGAGTGCCTCCACCCCGCGTCGACGACAAGAGACTCATCCTCAGCCTTAGCCGCGTCTTGTATTCGCGACCTACATAAGTCCCCGAAGAGTGAGCTTAGTGATCGATTTACGGACTTCGAGACGCCCGGAGATATGAAGAGTCCCGGTGCGCGGTATCGAGCTTCAAGAACTTCCCGTCCGGGTCAACAACCTGGGACAACATGGAGCTCAAGTCCAAAGTGTCGATTGAACTCGGGAGCCCGTTAGCCAATATTCCTTCCCGATTCGGGCACCGGGCTAATATGGAAGCGTCTGAAAGGAGAGATAGAAGCATTCGTTGCGTTTAGCCGCATCATCGCGCCAAAAGCGAATCTGATGCGACCTGGTTCCAGCAGTCTTTTACGGTCGGCCACAGCTCAAACGCCGATGAATAGCGGGCTCGGTTCGTGATCGATCGATTTCATGTTGAATGCCCATTCAATGAGGACATGAAGCATTGATTCGTAAGGCTGTCCCAACTTTTGACTTGATTCACACCTTGTGGGACGAGTTTTCATATAATATAAGCACACGTGAGCGGTCCGTGTCTGTCTCTCCCCTGAGAAAATGCTCGGAAGAGGAAATACACAAATAATAAATGGCTTCCATAGAGCGGCCGCGATGCGGAACTCGATCGGACCTCTCATTTCCTCGAGGGTCGACTTCCCATTCCTCCCGGGACGCTCGAAGGACTTTGAATGACTGGGTGCAGGAAAAAGAGTATACAGATGTCGCTTACAGTACGATAGTTTATTGATGTGGGTGTTCCTGCTGAGAACTCTGCTCACCGCTATATGATGACTACGTGCTTATGGAGGAGTAAAACCTCCGGGTGTTACGCTATGCAGAAGTCCGATGATACCTCGCTCGGCGACCCCGCTGCAGTCCCGCCGGTCGATGCCGATTATCTTACTCACCCGAATTTTCTCGGAGACGGTTGCGCGGCGGTTTAATAACTTACGATAAATTTATTGAACCCAGTTAGCTCCAACCAACGACGACTTACCAACTTGCAGGTATGCTGATTCAGGGAAGAGTTCGCGGAGGCATTCACAATCAACTCAAATGTTTCGAGGAGTTTTTCGGAAACATATGTTTTTGCTTATTTAGACAGCGACCTTCCCTTACATCAGGGGGTTCTCATGTTCGTTACAGTGTGTCTCAGAAGGAGCATCAAAGTATTTTTGTACACAGCACAAAACTCGTCAACTTTGCTTTGGCTCGATCAAGCATATCCTTACTTCTCATGCATTCAAGATTTGCTTCGGAAGTGTAAACCACCTGGGAGAACAGAAATTCATTTTAAGAATCTCCTACATCGTCGTCAATTCAGCTCTTAATTCACAGACTTGAGATAGGAGCGACGAGCCGTATGGCCGTCCGACTCCGCCTTTGGCCCGTGGGACTCACCGTACTGAGAGCCGTTCTGAGAACAGGTCTCTCAAATTCGCCTGGGAACTTGCGGCTGCTGTTTCTCAGGTACCATGTCAGGAGTCAGAAGAACGCAAGTCATGGGCTGGCCGTCCAAGAGACGCAGGTGGTAGGTTTCGACCGCCTTTACGGCGTCGTGTTTACGGTGATACGTCACCAGGGCATTGCCCGGAGACACGAACATGGCTGTCACGATCGGACCCATAGAGCGGAAGAGCTCCTGCGAAAGGAAAATAATTCCGCTTAGAACAGAACAATAACTTTTCTTTCATCAAATCTTGAGACCGTAGCGAGCCGCGACTTAGGTAGAACTACGGTTATCCATGCCGCAAGGGTGCTCCTCCTGACTCACGTTGATATCGGCTTCCGAGACATTGTTGTGGAGATTGCTCACGAGCACGCTACACGGCGGGTCTTGGCGTTGGTCCAGGCGATCTCGTAAACGATCTGATATCTGAGTCCTCTGCGGAGGTTCCGGTCGGATTGATCTGCGTTCTTCTACTACGACCTGAAAATGTATTGTATCGTTTAGCGGTTCTGCCTCGGGCAAGAACAAAAATCGAATGCGTGATCAGTTATGAGGAATAGAAAGATCGAATTTCTCATTTACCGAACGTTGGAGACGTTTCGGAGCTGATCTCCTCCGCCGCGCGTTAAGGGCGGCGTTGATATTGTTCAGATCGAGGATCGCGTGCTGGAATTGGAAGAGAATAATTGCCACGGCTGCTTTGGTGATGGCGATCGCTGGAAATTGGAAAATTCTTCGCTTCGAACGCATTCCGACCGCTTCCCTCCAGAGGAAGATTATTCCCAGGAAGCGCGTCGATACGGGGCTGGAAGATCCGGGACGGAGGAAATTCAACCGAATTTCTGATCAAAATAGACGCCGAACTTTATTTTCTCTCATAAAATAAGCAGGCTCCATGAAATAACCGTATAAATAATTGTGGTTGTGCGAATCCCTCTGCGCCCCTGGGGTCACAGAATATAGAAACGCGTTCTCTAAGTATCACTCATGAGCTCAATCAGATCCCGACTCAAGTTTTCGACTGCCTACTTTCGTATCCGCTCGTGGTCCTCAAAAATTAATTGTAGACTCATGATTGAGACAGAACTTATGCCGGCAATAAAATGTACTGCTCCTCGTTCCTCATGACGTCCACAAGGAAATAAGTGGGACATCGATAAAAAAATAAGTCTCTTCGACAATACTCGGAAAATACCCTCATGAGTGACCTCGGCCTGAGCTGTCACCTCACTTCCACAACAGGCTTAGCTTCTCGCCACCAATACGGAGCCCCTGCTCAACGCCGCTCGCGAGGGCGGAGCGCAGGCCTCGAGGAGTCAGTTTGTAAACAACGAAACCCACTCCGACCCACATCCCGATCACGAGAGCTCTGTTCGTCACGCGCACCCCCAACGAAGCTTGAGGAATGACGGATAGTTGATGGAGATCGATATCCTCGGCTTTGTCCCAGTGTTCGGTGATGCCTCGCTGGTGTCCAATGCCGACAACCGCAACGACGCTCGATGGAACCGGTGAGCTCATGGCTACGTTGTACAACGATCTGCAGAGATAGCGGTCTCGTTCCGCTATGAGAACCCTCGACAAGTCCGGATGGTTCACACACATCTCGCCCAGAAGCTGTTCGAGGATGTCTTTATCCTTGCATCGCTCGACGTCTTCAGCGGAGATTTCTTCGTCCGTGAACAGCAGAGTCCAGATTATTGAAATCCTCTGCCACACTCCCAGGCTAGCCCAGGCCCGTTTGAGAGTGATGTTTAGCTGGCGATCTCCGAGGAAAATTTGACAGTTTTCCAGTCTGTTCGCCTCCTGGTAGGCCATCCGGAACTCGCCTCCCGGGGCGATTTTGAGTTTGCTGCTCAAATGAGCGGACAACTGCATTAGGAGGATGTACATACCCCCTTGCAGGGTGCCCATTTTCGAAATCGCCTCTCTGATCATCTGCAAGCTGATGTTCGACGACTCGCGCATCAAAATGTTCTCGTCCATAGTCAGGATGTGGACCCTCTGCTTACAGAGCTCAACCATGACTCTCTTGGGTTTGATTCTACGGATCACCCGACGCACGTCGTTCTGCGATTCGCGAGAAAAATGTGCGGAGCCGACCACATAGACAAGGCATCCGTTGGGAGCTTTCAACATCTGACAAGTTTTAGGGAGCTCGAAATCGTCGACTTCCGAATCACTATCGGCCAGAGGGTCCTGCGATCCATCTTTCGCCTCCGAGACTCCGTCCGATGCACCCTGAGGTTCGGCGGGGTCTTCTATCGTCGGAACCACATCTCTGGCTATTTCTATGTCTTCTTTAGGGGACGGATTCATATTTTGATTGACTTCGAGATTTCCGTCGGGGTCTCCCAAGTGGTCCCCGAGGGAATGCTCAAGTCGGGAAATCTCTTCGCTCCGGTCGTCATCGCGCGCCTCGCCCGTGGACTCGTTCCGGTTCAAATCCTGGTGAGTAGTTTTTGGCGTTGTCTTCGACTCGACCGCTGCCGGCGCTGGAGGCACAGCAATACCCGTCTGGAGCGTCGTATCGTCCTCAAGACCGTCTGCGCGGGCCCCGACAGTCGAGTCCATCGGCATGAGATAACAGAGAATGCTCTACGGAAGAGAACAGAGCTTAGCTGTCTGCATATGCCGGAAGGATCCTACTGTCGGAGGGATGGAACACTATCCGGCCTCTTGTAAGGTCCCCTATACCAATCCTCCGTCCTCTTTCCGAGGAGGGCTCTGGAGCTCGCCGTTGCGCTGTCCAATGGAACCGAGTCTCACACGCCCCAAAACGAGCTCTATTCCAACTCGGAGCCAGAAAAATGTCACTCGAGTTTGCCGGGGGACTCCGCGCGAGCCTCACATCAGTTTCTCCAGATGGAGTTCAGAGGGAGGTGGAACTATTCTATAAGCTAATTCTGGGTGGTGGAGTTTGTCGTCTCGTTTCAGGAGAAAAAAGCCTTCCCTCGAGCGACGAAATGGAAACATTTCTCACCTGGAGAACGGGACTGTTCTTGATGATGTGGCTCCTTCTGATTGTGGCCGTGAGACCTTCCCCGGATCTCGGGGGTGGTCTAGGGTTCGCTCGGTTTATGGTCACGGGGCGAGCTCTCTGCTCTCGTTGTCTGCGAATTTCGTAAACTCTTGAGAAACGGAGCGCGATTCCGCCGAGTGGTGGAGTCACCTATCCCGTGCCCTCTATCCGAAACTGATTCCAGCGAGATCAAGCTAAGCGAGTCCGAGCGGTTGGTCTCGAAAATCGAAGAATAGTACTCACCGGTGCGGAAGTTGTGAAGTGGAGATCCCTCTGGGCTTCTTATTGGTGACCAAGCCTGTCGAAGTCCTGATTATCCGTTTCGAAGAGCTCACCCCACCGACACTCGGACCTCGATTACCACCGGGCCGGCGACCTCCTTTATTGCGGATCACGTCTCTCGCGTCTCGGACAGTCGCTCCGTTGCGTGGACGAAATCCTTTAGTATGAACCATTTTCGAGTCTGGAATGTGATCGATCGAGACTTCATTATCGAACATACACTAAATCCGTCCCATCCCGCGCTACAGAGCCGCGGCAGAAGCGTCGGATTTCCCGAAAGCGAATTTCACTCGCATCAAATCAAGAATCAAATCCCTCCGAAATTGATCTCGCAAGACTGCGTGGGCATTTCACGCCGTTCGGGAACTTGCTTCTCGATCGCAAAACGCTCCCTCGCCGCCGGGTGATCTGGCTGAGTAGTTCCACGGAGCCAACACAACAGAACACACGGAGTTTGTTCAGGCGGCAAATGAGGAGCTTGAGCATACGGTCCCTCGGCGTCATCCCTAGGCACGCTTGAGGGCGCAGCGCAATCCACGGTGAATCAAAGAGATTTACTTCGAGCTTACCTTTGTGAATGCCTCCAAGATCTACTCCCGATCGAAGAATTCCTGAACTATCTGAGAACGATGCGAAGTCGACGATCTCACAACTCCTTCTTCGTCGAGGATCTCAACCGACGAGCTCTGCCAACAATGATACAAGCAAGATCACAGGTGCGAGCGCCCTCTCCCACGGAGGTCTTTAAGGGGAGTGCGCTGTCGCTCGCTGGAAAGTCTGTTGATCTGCTCAAAGTTCCTCGATGCCACGCAACAGCGTTCACAGGCGATACGACCTGTATCTCAATCAGAGTTAGATTTGTGAAGTCTGAGTGTCCGGCAGGTACTAATAAGATGAGAGAGGGAGACTCTCGCGGATTAATCCGGTACGACTGCGAGACCTCGCCTTCGAGTGAGGGTATTCTGAGAAACGATTGCATTCACCGGGTCGATAGAAGTGGGGTTGGGGTGAGACCGGTCGGGCATACCGAGGGCTCTCATGCTTGCAGAGCGAGAGGAATGTCCGGTCGGTATCATCGAAGCGGCGACAACTCAATCATTCGGAGATGATCATCGGAGAGTAGAATTTTAGCATCAGTACAAATGACGCATCAAGACAATGGACAAATTGCAATCGTAGTACTAGCTGGGTCATTGATACAGAGACCATTACACGACCCACAGATCTGAATGCGACGGAAAAATGGGAGAGAAGAAGGGAGGAAGACAATTCAGGGAGATTTCCCGAAGATCTGACGATCGACGTTCTCTCCAAAAGTCGATCCCGTCGAGAGGAACAGAACAGAGGAGACTCGAGAACACATCGAATGTGGGATTCTGAGTCCTGTCGATTGCTGGCTAGAAGACTTCAACTCATAGAAGGCAACGGCTAGACTTTTTCAGAAAATAAAATCTATTTATTCGAAAAGGTGTAAGACCCCTCAACGGATGGAACCCCCCGCGCATCCTTATCTTCCCCGCCATTCTTGTTCTTGGGGTGAGACTTCGCGAGCTTTCTCGAGAACACATGCAGGAGATACAATAACAGAATCTCGACCGACAGCAACGCGATTCCCTTATGGGCACGGAATTTCTGCCGTCATAATATGCTCGAAGCGACCTGATGAGGAGAATATGGTCAAAGCTTCTGGCCTCAACAGCCGTTTTTTCTTACAAGGTACTCGATTTCCGTCAGGTCTCACATTTCGGGGAACAGGGTCACGTGAGAGACGGCTGACGGCTACAAGAGTCAGCCGACGACCGCAGAAATAATTTTGCAGGCCGCCTCCTCCGGGGTGAGCAATGATGTCGTTATTACCAACAACTGTGGAAGTCGAAATGGGCTATGAGCGTTTATTGGCGAATGAATATGCGGGTGCTCATAACGAGAAAAAATAGCGAACGGAACCGCGGCTTAGCACCCACCTGTACGTCACTCTCAGCCAAGACTTCTTCAATCAATTTGATCTCTTCTAGAGTTATCCCGCCCAGAGGCACCAGAATCACAATGTCCGATTCTTTCACAGGGTTTGGCCGCGAACTCTTCACATTCATGAGGAATCCCAAGCCACCCTTCAACATGCCGATACCGTCCAAGCGATTCGAGTGCCCTTCGAGATCGCTGCTTTCGATTCCCATCTGCGAATAAATCGAGGATGACTCTGACTTGTCGAAGAAAATTCTAGTCCTGGAGCAGGGAGGCGACTATGGCCCGCAAGCGATCTAATGGGCTCACCTTCATGTCGTCGAAGAGCTCTAGCAATAAGGGCTTGTAGGTTGCGGGGGAAGCCAAGTCTCCTTTCCGCAAAACATTCCGGTAGTGTTTCAAATTGGTTCGTTGTTTCGAGATCCTCAAAGCTGCCTGCTCGACTCTCTGAATGGCATTCTGGAGCTCGGTCTCGGTCCCCTTGAGGGAAGGAACTGGGAAAAGAGAAGTACGGTGAGAGTCAGACCACGAATTCCCCTATCTGGAATCACTAGCAACGCAGCGGCACTCACCTAAAATTTTCGCGAGCCGCGACCAAGTTGTAGGATCGCCGATAGTTTCCTCGGTGAGTGCATTCAAGAGCTCCGTTCGTAATGAAGCTCGCGAGCGCTGATCTATGTAGAGCTCTTCTCCGCTCAGAGAGTGCAGATACAAAATGAATCCCACGAGATCGGTGAAAGATAATCTCCTGTAGCCAGGAGGAAAATGCTGGATGAGAATCGAGGCCAAGAAAGCTCAACTGGATTTCTCTGACCTTCGACGCATTATCGGACAACTCACGCTTTTTCCCGGACTTGCGTCAACTGCAAAATCGCGTCGCCTGCATCCAGGGCACCACAATGAAGATTACCGGTGGCGTTCTGCATGAAGATCTTCTCGATGGCGAGTTTTTCGCTACGATGTTCGAGTTTCGGCGATGAAAGCAATTCCGCAATTCCCACCAATTCAACCAGTTTATGGACGCTATCTCCCAGAGCTCCAGTGTTCCGGAAGACCTGTATTCCCCGAAAGAGGCGAAACTGAGATACCATGGTCGATTTTTGAATGACGGGATATTTTCATTGTTTTTCTTTTGCCGAATTGGGGAACCATCCGCGGATTCGCTTCGCTGGAAATCACCTTCAAGTTCTTCCTGACGAACTTCAGAGGATCTTCGTCATGTTCCAGATCGTCGGCGAGGTTACACCTGTCGGCCAGCCAGCAGAATTCATCTTTAAGATGCGAGGGGAGCTGCAACGGTAATCCTCTTATGGAACCGGTCAGGAATTCACAGCGGATACTTAGTGCTAGCGCTCTGACCTCGTCTCCCTGATGCTCATACCATTTTCCACCTCATCTTGTGGAGATCCTCTCTGCCTGCTTGACGCAAACAACTCAGGGTTCCTCTGGCCACAGTGAAGCCTGTGCGGACCCTTTCACTGCGAATTCATCAACGAAGAGAGAGTATAAGACGAAGTAAGTTAATCGCAGATCTTATTTCACAGCGGTTTTCGCCGAGCTGAACCTACCAGGTCGCGTGACAGACTGGTGACATGTCGATCGAGACGTCGATCGAGTCGAAACTCGGGAGAACGCCCCGAATGGTATCCAGGATTGATTCTTTTTGAAAGGATAGTGGGAGCACGACATCAAGTGACCGATCCACAAATATGACCGAAGCCTTCCGCCGGTAGAGAGAGGAAGTGAGTCGCCCGGCTGGATCCAGAGGTTTCGGATCTCGGAATTGTTCCGATTGCGCTCGAATGAGTGAATATCATAAATCATAATCAGACCTTTTTCGCGTCTGGCGGGAGAGTACTCCGTCTTTTGCTGGTGACCGGCAGCTGCTCCAGATCGTCGGCGACAGTGTAGGAGAATTTTCCCAAAGAGAATAACTGATCCTTCAAGGAGAATTGATCGAGCAGAGCGCTAAGGGTTGCCACGATTTGCTCCAGCATCAGGCGTTGATCGGGAGGAAGTTGGCCTGGGGAATCTTCAGCCACCAACGGAGGGAAAACCTCCGCGAAGGGTGTCAACACAGCGACCCGTGGTAATACACAAGATATTACCAACGGAATGTACACGACCTGGAGAAAATCGCCCATATTTATTGCAGATCTCATGCCTGATGATCTATCAATGAAAATACATAATCCGTATCGACATCAGGCACTCGTTTCATTCGGAACACGGAAGAAGGGACCATAACGAACCTTGCTGACGGTGTCCTCTTGGCTCCCCATCCACTCCCGAAGTTCCCGCTGTAAACTCTGGATTTCTTGCTGGGATGTCTTTTCGGGAGTGGCTCGGATCGGCATTGCGCTCACCACCGTGCATGACTCGAAGCACGAAGCTTGAAGCACGGAATTCAGAGTTGACTGTACATATGGAGATAGCAGATCCTCGGTGACTATGAACAAAGCCTTGAAATCAGAGGCCGCTCCCGACTTGGGAACACCAGAACTTAGAATGGCAGAACACGGGAGGGTCACCCACACAGAGACCAATTCTGATTATGGATCAATTCTCGATGAGAATATCTACAGAAAAGTGCAGAGAACCTCTCTTCGGGACAGAGATCACATGTACCTCGAAGGCGGAGAATTCTTTGACTTTGGTCGCTCCGGCTTTATGAACGCGGGACAGACCCCCATTCCATCGCAGGGTCGCGGCGGCATTGTCATCCAAAAACACCACGGCATCCCGAGCTTCCCTTAAAGCTGCTTCCCAGCTCCTCCAAACGAGTGCTTGTAAATCCACCTACAATCGACGCTGCGGTCTCATCACAATTGATTGAATAGGATCGGTTCTTCGTATGGACATTCTCCGGAAGCCTCGTCGCCGGGCGAAGTTGATTACGCTCGAAGGAACGTACCATTGTCGTCAGGAATTATATTAATACATGAGTCTTCTTTTGTGATGGTCGGGTCGACTTATCCAAGAACCATTGTGGGAGTTCTTCGAACGCTTCTCCTATTCGGTAAGTCGTGTCGTCATCAGCTGTTGGTTCATCCGAGCTCCGAGCCGATCATCGTATTGTCTCAGTAAGTATCTCTCTCCCTTTTCGTCTGTTCACATCCAAACATCAGCACCGTAATGCGACCTCGGTGCTTGCTTTTCACGCTGTCACGCCCTGCTCCTCGTGTGAATGCAGATATGCTCGAGAAACCATACATATCGTGTTGTTAGTCTATCGGGACTCTTCGCAAGGGGCATGTAATGGGGGGGAAGGGAGTAGAGGAGGGATCGAAGTCAGATCTGGTGATTGGTGACGACGACGATGACGGTGATGATCTTTGCTGGCAGATCGATCTCGATGTGGCGATCTTTCGCATGGGTCTCCGACCAACGGTTTCCGCTTTTATACTGGACCATGATTGCGTAGGTACAATGACGGCGGATCGGAGTCGTTCGCGATGAAGCTCGGCAGCCTGCTCTGGCTCCGAGCCGAATATTATCAATCGGGAAATCGTCCCCTCGACTTTTGTGCTGCGTAAAAACTTGAAGTTAAGAGCTGATAGCCTCCCCTCCCCTCATTCAATTAGGAGTTCCTGTATTCGGGGGAGGAAGATTAAGGTGGGAATGGAGACCTCATTTTAGCTGCTCTCTTGATGGCGAAATCGATTGACAGGACTTATGCTCCGAGGGTACCGACGCGACGGCTCAAGGAACCGTGATTTTGTTCAAGGGGTCGGGTGGCATTTCCAAAAATGAAACACTGCTGCGATGAGAATCCTTGGAACTTCCAGAAGCTCCCAACTTTCCCGGCTCAGTCAGCACCGAGAGCTCGCCGTCCCTCGTGGTAGCTTAAACCGACGATCTTGGCCGGAATGGGGCGTCCCCCATCCGAGAAGATCTATTCCCCGGGAAAGATTGGAATTTCCGATAGCCGGGAGGTCAGATCGCTGCGACATCACGCACGAGACGCCGTAGACGTTGACTCGTGTGAGAGACCGCTGACTCGAATACAACGAAAGCCGTGCTGCTGCAGAGCCCACGGTCGCAAAAAATGCGGGGATTCTCTCCACCGTGAACATTCTCTCCGGGCCTACATATGTCCGGGGCTAATTCACCGGACACGACGACCTTCAAAATTTGCGTAGTGATGAGTAGTGCCCCACTCCTTGGGAGCATATTGACGCAATCAGATCATCTTAATCGCTTTTCAAGTCCGAATGGTATGCGAAAGAAAAATTAAGATGTGTCCGGACCCCTGAGAAGCCCGAGTTTCGTGACGTTCCTCGGAATTCGGGGGGAGATTGTCACGGACGGAGGTATCCGTCGCGTCACCAGTTGCAGAAAACACACATTTCGCTCACTCAGTACACCAAACAATCAGCACACAACATTCACGGATAGATCGAGTCGGAAGCGGGTAACAAAGTTTCATATAGAATGTTTCGATATTGCGGATGATCCGCTATCTTTGTCCAGGACAAGCAGTCCTATTTATAATGTAAGCATTAATATCAATGAAATCACCGAAGTGCGCGCGCGCGTAGTTACGTCCCTCGGCGCAACTTCTCAGTAGCGGAGAAGTTGGAAGTTGACCGATGGTCAACAACAACAACGGTAGTCACGACGACTTGGTCAGTCCCCCCCATGTTTTCGTCGGTGAATGATTAGCTTCGGGAATCAGAGGATGTTGTAGCGGGAAAATATCTCTTTATTCAACAGTCTCTAGCGACTACGTCCCCGCACCTGGGGTTCCTTTAGAAATGGAGCATAAATCAACCAATCGATCGATCGAAATACTTATACATATATCAGTCTCGTCGAGGCCCACAATGCCCCACTTCGACTCTCCGTGGCTTTCATTGTATGGTCGCAGAGGGAGGCGCGAGTGAGGGCCTGAAGACGCAGCCAACGACTAGAATGGAAACGTGGACGCGGGACGAGGGAAATTTCCTCTCCTCGGAGCGACGCGAAGAGCCGACTCGCGAAGGTTTACTCGGGACTGGGGGGATGCTTGAATCTCCTCAGAAACCATCCGTACTCACGGAATCTGCCGCGGACGTGCTTCATTGCTCGATATTGAAGATTCCTTGGCAACTGCTGCCATTGTGCCAAAGTCAGTTTCCTGAACACCAAACACTGAAGACTGGCGCAATCCGCGTCAAAGCTGCTTCCATTCGGACCGGACACTTCCAGGCTGCAGCATACGGAGCGCTTAAGCTGCTCGCACTCCTCTTCGCTCCACTCCAAGCCCCGCAAGAACCTGCAGAGAGCCGTCGGCTCCGCGCCGAATATCGTTCCGGGTTCCTGAAGCCACCAAGGCGCTTGTCGTAGTCCGAGTTTCGCCACCAGTATCCGGCAGAGACTGGGGTGGTCGTCCCTCGAGGTCATGAGCGAGCCGCCCGCGGCAACGAACTTGAGAAGTAGCCGTCGAGCCCCTCGGTAAGGGAGCACAACGCGTTCTCCCCCTGGGTTGTCGGCGACGCTGCTGAGCACTAGAGAGAGGGCGGCAGTTGGGACCCCTTCAAGAGCCGGCGGGCAATGTTTCTCCATCTGGTCCAAGAAGAACATCATCGTGCGCGAACTATTCACCCTACACAGCATAAGGAGCTCCTGCCAAGTCGATTCCTTCGAAATCACGTGCGCCGCCAGAGCATCGAACGCGTGACATCGGATCGCGAACGAGAGTTCCGACGACCAGGGTTTGAACTCGTCCACCATGAGACGGCTGAGAAGGGTGCACAAATCCGCGAGTGTTCTCATGTTGTGGAAGATCCAACATGGTCCTCCGATGCGGTAGATCATTTCGAGATACCGGAATTCTTCGATCTTCGAGATAGCTTCGATGATCGAGCAGCACTGCACAGTGAAGTCCACGTAGTCGCCGCTACGAATTTGAGCTTCCAATTCCTCGATGTCCTCAACGCTCTTGAAAATCGGTACCGGGTAGAAGTCCTCGATTGAGGGATCTTCGTCGGTTTCCAGAAGGGATTTCCTGAAGAACTCGAGCCTGCCGTTCGGGAAGGTTCTTTGGAGCACCGTCGTCCTCACCTGACTCGCCTGGAGATACAGCTTCGGTGGGAGTTTCCGTGTGTGCGGAGTTCGGCAGGCTGCGTGGCTGACCATCGTGTATTTCGAAGATCCGAATGATCTGATTCCAGACGATCGAAGTTGATTTTCGAGCCGTCCTATTTAAGGCGCGCCATCAAAAATTGACCTCCTCTCCTGCAAATGCCCGACACGCGATGCAAAGAGAGAGAGGCATACACTTCGACGACCTAATTTTTCATCGCAAGAATATGGATCACCGAGAGCGGCGCGAGGTCGAACAAGATGCCTATTTCATTCTCACGAACTCCTACGTACTTCGCAGACTGCCCCGTTCTTCGCCGCTCCGGAAATTCGGAGCTCGTGAGCTCCACTGACGGTCCCCCGGAATAGAGTTTCTCGGAAACCCATGCTGGCACAATCCGCTCGCCGCCACGCTCGGAATTCTATCCTCCGAATTGCACCGCGGAGAAATCCCCTACTCGAGGGCGGACGTCCATCCGCTCCCCCAACCGTTCATACGCTCGCGGACTCCGGACGGTCACCAGGATGGGTGTTTCGACGCTTTACTTCGTCGGTATCCGTAACTCCGGGCTCTGAGACCTCAACATCACAGAACGGTAGCTTCCTCAGTAATTGCGCTTTCCGGCAGGCAAAGATCTTCGCCTCGAAAATTGATCGCTGTCTTCACCGGCGCTCTACGTAGAACGGGGGTGGCCAACCGGTGAATCCGAGACCGGTTGTGGTCCGCAGCCAGAGTTTCGATACTCTGCGGCGCACCCCGCCTTTTCGTAGGACGAGCGAGACGTCGCTCTTGTTCGAACGCGCACCGTGAGTATCGACTCATCGATGGTCCCCACGTGATATCCGAGTCCGAGTGTCCTGTCAGGATCGAGGTAGCGGACAGTGGATGAAAAATCTCCGGTAGACCCCTGGTCTTCGCTGCGCGGTACGAGAGGAAGCCCGGAAGACAATGATTTTCCCATAGAATGGGGGAGGAAACGATCAATCAGTGCCCATCCGGTTTCGTGTCGACACGATCCAGGATTCTGCGATGTCCAGGGACGATACGTCTTTAGGGCGGCGAATATGGTGAGTACGAGCTCGAATATCCAGCAGATTCTAGGTGGGTAGACGGGAGATGGAGACAGAACAAATCGTCCTCCCGAGGGAGCGGGCTTCGTGAGGATTGTGGAACACTGCGCGATGGAAGCCTGTATCGGCATTCCTGTTCTCGAAGCTCCATCACCTTTATTCGGTTTTGCCTGATCATCGTATTCCTCTAATGTGAGGGCTCCCCGGATGTCAAGTTCGGAATTCAGTCGAACCCGCTTATAAGAAAACCGCCTAAAATAGAAAACCGCATCTAAAAGACCGATTTCGATTCCCCGATTTTTTCTCCATAGGGCTTCATGTTAAAACCTCGCTTATGATAATTTCGGATATAAGAGAAAACCGAATAAAAGAGACCACTCCGAAAACCCGGCTCCATAGAGTCCCATGTCGGAGACCTCTCTTTTTCCATTTCATTTCCGTCTTTCACCGCACCGTCATTCAGAGACAAAGAGATAATTGGAAAGCAGCAACGTTTATATAGAACGCGAGTCCCGTGCCATGTGAACAGAAAACCCTGCGAAATGGCGTCTGACTGGAATTGACACACCAAGATGATTCCAATGTGGGTCTCATGAGTTGGGATGGGAATTTTTCGCGGAAAATTTCCGCCTTTGCGGAAATTCGCGGCCTCCATTGAAACTCTATGGGGAGAAGCCGGAAATGTCCGCGAGTATTCGAGGAAAAATGGCGGTCCGCGAAAAATTTACATCTCTACTCATGAGTGCTCAGAAAAACGCGAGGACCGCGGATAATGAAACGTCGGAGGATCGAATCGCAAGTCCCCACGACAGATGTTACGAGAGCCCGGAACCTCAAGACGCCGAGGAAAGGTACTCCGAGATCGCAGAACGAAAATGCACCGGTGGTCGGCTAACCTCCCGCAAGAACCGGCGCGGTGCCCTTTCTCTGAATGGAGGGGCAATCCGGGATCGCAATCTTCATATTTCTCTCGAGGGTTCCGGGAGCCACGGTGTCGATAGCGCTTCGGGACTCAGTGATGTCGCTGTCCGGATCCGAAGAAGCGAATACTTTGATGTCATCAGCGTGAAGCTCATAGCAACCGATGTGGAGTCCGTTGAGACCGACAGACAGGTCGTACATGAACACAGAGGAGAATAAAGCTCCGGCTCTGAGCCTTGAACAGCTCCGGATGAGCTTTGACCTGTTTCTGATCGAGCAGAGCCAGCATCAATCAAAGAATGGGAGCTGCTGTACAATCTGTGATTCAAGAGACTCCGAGCAAGAGATTCATCTCGACATCGTCTTCGAGCCAGGAGCCGGAAATTCCGCACCCCGGTACACCATATCTCAGGAAGCTAGGAAGGTAGGCTAACGCTTTTCCATTCACATGAGACTTTATAGATTCAGCTGCACTTGATTGAATCGAATAGCTGACCCATGAAGAAAGCTCGCTCGAGCTGCTGGAACAGCCCCTCAGGCCTCCTGGAAGCGTTGGTTTCATACTACCTCTCTCGCCTTCTGGAACCGATTCCCAAGTTTTCGGGGCCGCAGTCATCACGTGCCCCCCCCCCCAAAAAAAAATCCTGAATACGCGCCTGACTACGAGCGTCGGCTTCGGAGTCTGAGCTCTCGACGGCTCCGACGGCGACAATAGAGCTGGGAGAAGGGAATGGCTTGGAGGAATGTGTGGGAGAATCTTTCAGCGTGAAAGCCTCGCGCCGGCTCATCTCTCGATTTCTCCACAGCAAACTGAGGGAAGTTTAAGCGAAGGAACGGGATTCGAATCAGTCAGGCGGTCCTATCGCATGAGATAGACCGAAATGCTGCCCCTATCTAACACCACTCAAAATCAGATGGGCGGAGCACAGCTGCGGGGGCAGCTCTCTCATCGTCAGTGGCAGGTACGGAGGCAGCTCTCTCATCGTCAGTCGCAGGTCGAAGACACTGGACACAGCGGATCCTCACGTTCGAGGGATGCGGCCATCACCATATCGATGTTAAGGAAGCAGTTTGATTCCGCGGTGAGAAGGGGCGACGACGGCAACGAGAGCATCATGTCACAGATTTTCACCGGGACTGAAATTCCTTGCTTCAAAGGAGCAGCTTGAGACGAAGCACTCCTCTACAAGCGAAAGAAAACCACTAAGCTATCGCTTTTGACTAATAGGAGGCTTCTCTTGAGCATCCGAATTCGTATCCTCCCCGAGAGATTCCTGTGCCGTCTCTCCATGTTCTGACAAGCATTTTTGATAGACAGTTTCCAGAGATTGTCGGTGCGGACGTCATCGCTTCTTACGCTTCATCGTCAAGTGCTCGTGATTGCAACCCCCTGTATGCGATGAGCAGTAAGACATTTTCGGGTATATGCTTCCGCATCCCGCCCCGGATGGGATCGCGGGACTGCCGCCTGATTCGCGGCGGAGAGCCCGTCGACCACGACCCTGGAGGAGCGCATCGGCGCGCCATTATTCGAAAGCCGGATCGGGTCTCCAGATGATGCTCTGATACGATGGGAGGATTCTCTCGGAACCCAAGCAGCGGCAGCGATCGTGCACGAGCGGGTCCGCAGTCCGAAGTCGAATGAGAAAGCTCGAGCGCCGAACTAAGTTCGACACGCATGATGAGAGGTGGGAAGTCGTCCCATCCATGTGTGCAGAGCCTCTGTCGCGATGTCACATAGGGCAATCTTGCCTCGCAGACGGATCCGATACTCTATGCAGGCCGGTTTCGTATCTCTCAGACGATTTGAAAGTATCGAAAGTCATATCAAACTCCGACATCGAAGCGAAAAGAGTTTCGAAGACGGAACCCTTCGAAAACATTCGGGGCCTTCGGCGCATAGGGGAGCAATGAGCGGAGAAACAGCGCGGGCTCGTTTCAAATATCGTCGGCCAGAAGATCGCTCCCGACCGCCCGCTGCATTATGGCTTGGTATAAACAAGGAAGAAGAAGACGAAGCCATACTTTTGAGAGCGTAGATCTGTGTGAAGAATCCTGTGGCAGAACTTCTGCTGGTGGATAAATTGTGCATAAATTTCTCAATTCTAAACGTCCCCTCAGCTTCGAGCACGGGATCCAAAATCGCCGAGAACTCCGCCGATCGTATGAGATGCTCGAAGAGAGCTCATTCACAACCCGCTAACAATGGCTGATAGAAGAAAACTACAAGGTAAGCCTAAAATCCGAAGTTTTTTCCCACAATTCTGATCGGAACGAGCTTGAAACGCTCAGAGTCCGCGAGGACAGCCGAGTTCGATACGTCTCCCGGCGTACAGTTTCGGAACAGCACGGAATCGCTGGGGGGAAATCAATCCAACGAACTTCAGGAGGCGAGAAGTGCTCAACGATACCAACGCTGGGCTTCATATAGCTTCGAGGCCGGCTTCGCTGTGAATCCGCGTTTGGACGACTTTCCCCCGCAAGCGATCGGACAATCAAACGCGTTTCGTGCCCTGAGGCGTTGATGTTTGCTCGATGAACAATATATGAATGTCACTCGTATAGAGATTGAGCTCGTATACTGTCTCTGGTGCCCCATTGTCGCGAATGGCGCCAGCTGATAGCTTCGCTCACAACTGTTCTCCGATGGGCTTCTGAAGTTACCGTAGTCGGAATCTCGAAACATCACAAACCACGCGAAACTCAGTCCCTCCCGTTGCTGTGCGTATCTCCCGAGTGGATCAGGCTCCATGGAGCGAGCGCCAAAACTGCGAGATCGCGGTGGCTTTCTGCGCAGCTATCCGCAAACCCGATATGGATGCGTATTTTTGTCTTTTTTTCTTTCCGTCTGCCCGGCGGCCGGGTCAGTTCACTGAGCTGACCGCTGAGATCCGAGGACGCTTCAGCGGTCAACGTGATCAGCTTTCGGAGAGCGATTATTTTTCCAGTTTGTTAATGCCTGAGACGACTAGTGCTGCTTTTCGGACCGAGTCCGTGGTCGCTTCACTGAAGTGCTGCTCCGATCGATTCAGCCCGGACGCTTTGAAATTTTCTCATCTGTATTTTCTTCGCTGATTACACTATTTCGTGCAGAAGCTCCGGCAGAAGACTGTGTTTAGATAAGGGATAGTCGTGAGCGTCGCGGAAGAATCCGAGATTTTGAGGCCGGAGCCACTGTGGATATATGGAGCGGATAGATTCCCAATGTGGAGACTGTTGTTCGCGCTTGCGTACGTCGGAGGAATCTCTCGTCCTATTTCGAATGATCCACATCGGAATATGTGAAGGTTCCCTGCGAACTCCCGTGACAGTTCGCAGACGGCGAGTCCGCCCGCCCTCGGCCTGCCCGCCGGCAAGCTGTCCATGAAACATTGAGATGCGGTCTGATTTAGAGGCGGGTAGAGTAGCGTCAGGAATTTAGACCAACTGGATCATATGACTTTACAACCAACTACGCAGCTCCATGCATGGTCGGAAAAAAAGACCGCGACGAATTTCCTTCTTAAAATCACCGTGGTCCGATATCAGCCCTGCGGTGGCGGCTGCCGGCGAGTCGAGATCTGGAAATGATCTCCGGAGCTTCCCGCACCGTGTGGGAAACCGCAGGGTTCCAGGAAATATTCTAAAGGCCGTATCTGTCGCCATGCCGGATATAAAGAGAGTTTGTGAAACGATGGGATCCGTCCCAAGCTCTTTCGAGAAGCTCAGGATGTTCTCCAAGCCTGAAGCGCCGACCGCGGATCTCTCCTTATTGACTTTTCGAGAGCTTAGCCGATTCCGGGAGCACGTGTGATTATGGCACGCGAAAGTCTTGATGAATGATTGTCAAGGTGTCCAGTGAACGTGTACAGGAAGGAGAGACGAACATTGTGTCCGGGTAGCCGAGGAGCTTGCTTGATTCAGAGCCGAACCCGGCCCCCGACTCCCCTTGAACGCGAGCTTGACCGAGTCTTTGTCGATCCCTCAAGTAAAAGGTTCATTGTCGGGAGTTATCTCTGCGATGAGAAATGTTTCGGAGAATTCCTACTGCTGTTCCACATTCCGAAAGTCGGAGTTTCGATCCCCGTCCCGAGAGCACGAAGCGCCAGTCTAAGGGAAAAAGGCGTTGCATGGGATCCACTGGCAAAATATCATCTGTGTCTACGTTTTTCCATTAATGTTTCCTGTGTCTTTCCCAGGTGAAATAGACCGTTGTTTAAAAAAGGTAACAGAAGGTGTTGAAACGTTCGATGACATCTGGAAGAAGGTTCATGGGGCGAGCAACACGAATCAGAAGGAGAAGTATGAGGCAGATCTCAAAAAAGAAATCAAGAAGTTGCAACGGTTGCGAGACCAAATCAAGACATGGCTGTCCTCGTCCGAAATCAAGGACAAGCGGCAGCTACAGGACACGCGGAAGTTGATAGAGACGCAAATGGAGCGATTTAAAGTGAGCGTCTTTGATTTTCATATGTTTGTGAAAAGCTCAAAATGCTCCTCCTTTCCCTCCTCGCATTCTGCCAGAGAGATGATACATGTGAATGTACCTACACTCGGTCTAATTCTACATTCATTATTGCAGGTCGTGGAGCGAGAAACAAAAACAAAAGCGTACTCGAAAGAAGGTCTCAGCGGTGGTGTTCAAAAAATCGATCCTGCCCAAAAAGAAAAAGATGAAATGAATCAATGGCTAGCCAACTGCATCGACTCTCTGAACATACAGGTCGATCAGTTCGAATGCGAGATGGAGAGCATGTCGGTGACAACGAAAAAAGGCAAAAACGTCTCAGCCAAAGACGCCAGTCGAGTCGAAGAATTGAAAGCTCACGTCGAGAAGCACCGCTTCCACATCAATAAATTGGAAACACTAATGAGAATGTTGGACAATGGGACAATCGAAGTTGACAAGATCCGGAGTGTGCAGGAAGATGTGAACTTCTACCTAGAATCGTGCTTGGAGCCCGACTTCGAGGAAAACGAGTATCTCTACGACGACCTCGACTTGGACGAGAGTTGCGCTCCGCTCGGCGTTGGTGAGACCAAGTCGACATCCCAAAGCAACGCAACGTCAGAGCACGGTTCTGATTCTCCGCACAACGAACTTTCGACACCCCATACGCCTCAGAGTGTCAGTCACACTCCTCATCCGGGACAAGCGACGACCGTCCAGACACCGAACGCGTCTCAGACAGCGACCAGTCTGACGAACGCCACGTCTCAGTTGAATAACCACCATTCCAATGCGAAGAACGACGTAAGTTCCCGTTGTTGATCGCGTCTCCACTTGCTCACGATATCCAGAGAGGGTGTTTCCTGACGAATTTTCTTTCTCTCTCTCCTCAGACTCCCAGTCAAGCAGGAACACCCAACAACTTGACGACGAGCTCTCCAACATCCACCCCCGTCCTTGAGATCAAGCAATCGGTCAACATCCAGGCACCGTCAACGCCCGTCGTTAAACCCGTCGCCGTTCGACCTGTCGGGTCGACGAAAAGTCCGCAGGCGTCGGGCGCGTCATCACCAGCGCCCGGTCTTCATAATGAAGCATCGAAGATTGCGTACAGTTCGGTTGTAGCGACGCCCGCCCCGGTGACACCACAACAGCAGCAGCAGCAGCAACCTATTGCCCTGCAACAACAAGCTCAAGTGGCGTTGCAGCAACAAATGCAGAAACAGCAGCAGCTGCAACAGCAGCAACAACAGCAGCAGCAGCAGCAACAATCGACACCACAATCTTTGCTGCAGCAACAAGCGGCGCAGACCCAGCAGCAGCAGCCTCCCCAACCGCAGCAGCAGCAACCTCAGCAAATTCTGCAGCCGCCTGTGCAGTTGAACGGAGTTGTATCCCCGAGTCCGAATCAAACCCAGTCACAGCAGATGCAAGTTGTCAATGGACCTCCCCAACATACGAGTAGTCCGACAAAGCAACCGCAAAGTGAGTAGAACTTGCAGTCCCCACACGAAATCAACTTCCGATTGAAGCGGGAAAATATTCTTCGGACGAAACGAGTCCCCGAGGGGTTCTGTTCCTCAGATTCTTATCGGAGTCGTAAATCCTCCTTTGGAGCCTCCGGGAACGTATTCGAAAGGCTCAATGGTCGTAATCGATTGAGAATCGAGCCAGTCTGGTAGTCTCGCCGCGTCATCCGATCACTATTAGCGTTCTGTCTCGTGAGCGAAACCGGATATGGAAACTGGACTCATCGTTTTTTTTTTCAGCTGACGGTCACGTATTAAGCAACAATGTGGATGGATCTCCAGTTATGATGATAATGAATTCGCTTAATCAAGCCGACTTGGTTCCTCAAACAACAGCACCGATTACGAACGGAGTTTGTGAAGTAGAGACGCCGCAGAAGCATGTCACGGCGCCGCAGCTGCAACAGCAACAGCAGCAGCAGCAACAACAACGGGAGCAGCAGCAGCAACAGCTGCACCAGCAGCAGCAGCAACAAGTACAACAACAACGGCAGTTGCAGCAGCAGCAGCTACAACAGTTACAACAGCAAGGTTCACAAGGAACGTCGCAAAGCCAGCAGATGCCCGTTAGCGATGATCAAATGATGCCGCAGGATGCTCACATCCCGGCCGTGTTAGGCGTCGCTCCCCTCGGCAAATCGACGATGCCCAAAGAGTGTTATTACCAACTTCATCATCTGAATTGGGCCTCGCAACACATGCCGCACCCGTCAGACAGCGATCGTCTCCGAAACTACCTCATGCGGCAGCCTTGCTCAACACCGCCCTACTATCCGCTCACGCCACCTTTAGACCCGGCAGAGATGTTCCAGAGGCTCGCAACTGAAACCCTTTTCTTCATCTTCTACTACATGGAAGGCACAAAGGTGGGTTGGAGGATCGGAGAGAAAGCAAGGAGGAGAAAATCGACGAAATTATCGAATCGAGCAAGAGCCCTTCCTTGTTTGCTGCGGATACCCCACAACTCTCGGGCCCAGACCCCGGCTTCTTTTCTCCCGGGTGGAAGACCCACGGAAGGGAAAATAGCCCACAGATACATCGGCGTTCTTCTCTGGGTGGAGAATCTAACGCACTGTTCTCCTGAATTTTCAGGCCCAGTATTTGGCTGCGAAAGCCCTGAAAAAGCAATCATGGAGATTCCATACAAAATTCATGATGTGGTTTCAGCGGCACGAGGAGCCGAAAACAATTACCGAGGACTTCGAACAGGTGAATACATAAACATGCGTTGTCCGCTTGAGCTGGTTCTAATGGGGTTGATAAGAACCTCGCGGGATTATTTCGATTGTAATCTGAGAACGCATCCTTTCTCAGGGGACTTACATCTACTTCGATTATGAGCGATGGAGTCAACGGCGAAAAGAGGGGTTCACCTTTGAGTACCGATTTCTCGAGGATCGGGATCTCAATTAGAAGAAGCTCAGTGCACTCAGACTGTGCTATGTCTTCATTTCTCTCTCTCACATCGTGAGATCTCTGCGAAGTTCTCCTCTAGAGGAAGGACTTCCAAATTTTCTTTGCTTATAAACGACTGAAGTGGTGAAGAACGGAATCAACCTCAACAAAAATTGAATCCTTGAGTCGACTCAAGATCATCTCCCAATCTCTCACCGAACTCGAGTCAATCCCCTCTGGAACCCTGAATGACAGCCTGGTCCCTGCCGCGGAACAACATCTACTACGAAGACGACGACGTAAACAACAAGAACAACAATCTCAAATACAAACGACGACGACGATGACGACATCAACTACAACAGCGACATTCATCAAAATTAATTTACGAAACAAGAATCGAGCAACTCCTCATTCATGTTCAACATCGAGGGAACCAAGTTGCGATAAGCCTGCTGCAAAGATGGATCGTAGAAGGAAACCATTGTAACTGCCTGCTGAAGTCAAGGGAGACGGAGTTGTAGGCGGTGTTCGCATTGTTATACCTACTGACATTGTTTGCAAGCTGGGGGTGAGCTGTGATTTATGGAATTTTTCTCGGGAGGAATATTAATGGAACGGGGCGGGGGGATATACAGTTTGGCACGGGGAGCTTCTCACTGAGGGACACGGAAACAGGCTGGGAAGGTCTACGCTGTAGAAAACGGCCTGGGGAATCACTGGGGGAACAGGTGAGCGTGGAAAACAGTGAAAATAGTATGAGGACGGAATCGGTGGGTGCCGCTAAAAGGTTCTCTAAAACACAAAGGCAGTGCGGTGCGGGTGGGCCCAATGTTCAAATGTAGCTTTTCTTTTTGTCGATTCTCCCGTCGGTTCCTCTTCGCGAAATTTTCTTCCAAGCGTCTGAGAGAGAGAGAGAAAGCTCTGAGAGATTGAGTGCATTTTTTTCTGTTCTTTCCTGCTCCAAGCGACAGTTGGATTTTTCAGCACGCACGCGTCCATCCATGATACACAAGGACTGAACTGAAGAGATTGCGCAAAATGCCAAGAATATTGAGAGTGATTTGTACAGTAAGATGTTTGGTTAACGCCTATTTTCTTGTGTTGTTATTATTCCTTGACGACTCTCCAAGCTTCTCCCTCAAAAATCTTCGACGAGTTCGACTTATTTTCTTCTACAATGCGGTTCTGTTGATAAATTGAGCGTGTATCTATCTATTCCGATATGCAGAGTTCCGAGGGGATTTAGAGAGAAATTTAATCAATTGCACATTTCATTGCTGAGCGAGAGTCGGAAAAATACGAGAGAGTGAGAGCTAGCGAGAGAACATGTCCAGACCTGCATAAATGTTGGAAACACACTCATGTTCATCGAACACGTCGACAGTCGCTTGGATAGACGTTTCGGTCGGGAAAATTTTCGAGGAATGCTGCCGCCGCTTGTGCATTTTTTTTCCTCCTTAGTGATCCTCTGAGGGAAGTTCAGTCGACGGAGAGGGTTTCTTTCGCCGGCCGCGCTGCCGCAATAAAGCTTTCGCTAGGTGTTCGCGGTTTCAGTCGGGAAACTGCAGCGTCTGTACACCTGCCGCCTCGACTTCTCTGCCGCGGCAGCTACCATCGCCGCCGCCATTGTTGTTGCGGCGCAGCTGCTTGTCCGAATCCCCGTGCAGTCTACAGACATACGTACGCCCGCCCGCAATTACAAACACATCAAGCACACATCAAGACGTCGACTACGGCGACGATACAGACAACGGATTGAACGGACAGACAGACAAACAAACAGACAACCAGAGAGACCGTGACACATCGGTTCATGTGTCTTTTCGAACAGACTCGAGTGTATGACGTCCCAATGGGTGGTTGTAGATTTATTTATGTTATCACCTGAAGGGATGCGCCGGGGGCGGGGGCCAGTGTATGTATATACGGGATTGTATGCCCCGCGGAAGGTGTCCATTGCCGCCAGTGGGTTGGCCAGAATGGGTGAGAGGTGCCGATTCGAACGGTCGAAATAACTTTGTATATAACATTACTTCGGTGATAATACAGCAAATGAAAATAAAAGTTCATTTGTGGACCTATTATGGTCCTCTTAAGTAAACTTCTGTTCGATTTATTCTGCCATCCTGTCGAGAACCAGGTTTTAGGCACAACCAAGTTCATATCTCGCGTCGTCGGAATCCGCTGGAGCCATGGGGAGACTCGAGCTCTTACCGGTGCGATGTTCCCGGAGGGGGGGTTCACCGTATCAGTTATCATCGTCCGCTCATCGTTCCCCATAGGTATTTCTTAGGATTCCAAATCAGGAGCAATTCATGTCGGAGGCCCCCATTCTTCTGAGCGGTACATGCTCCACGCTGGTCGATTCTGAGACGGAGATTATTCGGAATCATCGGTGCGCGAAACGAGTCGATTCCTGAAATACTCGAGGTCGCTCAATCTCACATCACGGATTCTCTCCGTTCCTCCGTCGGGATAATCGGAGGCGACCGACTCTTCGAAGGCGTGACGAGCTTGAACTCTGAATGACAACGATTTGTATCGATCCCAAGCAGCAACTGTCGCTTCCCGCGGACGGTGCAGGAGCCGTCATGTTCATGGCTCAATCTAGAAGACCCAGCGCGTAATTGGATTCATCGCTTGCCTGATCAGCTCGAAATATGCAACGTAACAGTGTCCCGTTGCAATGAGCAAGCAAGCAAGCAGCGAGTCGGTGAGCAGCAAATCACACAAACGCTCAGACAAGGGCCGAGCTAGCGCTAGTCCACGCGCCGCTGAGCTCAGCAACGTTCAAGCGAATAAACCCCGCCGATTGATGCTCAAAGCAGGCAAGGGATGTCTACATTAGCATAGCTGTAACTCTTGATTAGGTGGATCTATATCTCAATGCGTTCCGTGACCGGTGGAAGACCTGTGATCAGAGTAAGGCGGCGCGAGTCGAGCATGGATTCCATGTTCGATTTTCGCAACGTCCGTTCTCATTTTGTTTCAGCTTGCGATTTCACATGGAGACTCGACTCAAATCGAAAGCTGAGTGCTCGCCGGATGAAGTGAACAGTCTGCTCATCGAGAGCTGATTCTGGTTTGAAGTTTTTGAAAACCACAGACCCGCGAGAGGGAGGGGCGGATTGAAGAGCTCCCGGAGACTCTGCAGATATACGGGATAATTCCGAGTGCGAAGGAGATATATTTACTGTGAGAGAAACCCAGCCAGATATCCAGGCTCCGTGAGGCTGCAGGTTTCCGGTCGCAGCTTCTGGGATTGAAAGGAAAGTCTACCGGTCGCGGACTGAGATCTCCGACATCACCGCTGGCTTCTGCAGGTTAAAATCGGCGGGTTCAAGCCCCAGGCAGAGGAAGTTCCTTCCAAATCGGAATCCATCGATTTCCTCCATGGAATCTCATTTGAGATCGTCCACAATCCAGACCCCAGGAGGAACCTTCGGAATTAGAGCATATTCCGTGGAAACATGCTTGAGCACCTGTCGCTGCTCTCTATGAGGGCAACCCGGATTGGGGGCACCTCGAATCGATCTCTCGAGCAGAGATCTTCCGGCTGTTCGGGGAAGAGGTAATCGCAGCCCACCGAGATTGCTTCGCGCGTCAGTAATCGAGGGCGTCTCGGCATGCCCCAGCAAGATGAAATATCTTCACTCCGCCACACGTCTCACCGTTCCTCTACCGGAATTTCTCTTCCGGACACAGCTTTTCAGGAGTGCTCTTCAAGAGGAATACAACCCGCATGAATATCCTTCCCGATGTGCCGGGGTAATTTCCTAATTTCTTCTCAATGTCCGTAGGGAATGAATGGGGAGCAAATCGCGAAGTCTGCGGGGTCCAGATCCCGACGGACTCAGGGGACTAGCCGTTGGGCTTAGCCTTTGGGCCACTGCGTGAAGATTCTGCATAACCACTTCGATCTTAACTCGAGCAGCAGTTTCGGTCCCATTCTCGCGGGATGTACAATATCCGATTCAGATGTGGGAGCATGAGCCCTCAGCATGCGGATCATTCGTCTCATGGGCGGTGAGTGGGGTTCAGAGGAAGTCAGCGGAATTCTAGTGGACCTATCGGACGGCATTCCGAGCTCTCGAACGGAGCACCATTGTGACCTGTCCTACTTAAAGGCTTTGGGCTCATCGATCGACAACGCTTTCTCGTGAAAAATTGGCGGCTATTGTGTCTCTTATCGGGCTGCTACCGAGAGACCCCGAGAACTGCGTGACAGGGAACGTGGAGTCGGCTTCCGTCGGAAGGACTCATCTACCAAGAAGGGACCAACCCTTTCCGAGAACTCGTACTCCCCCGACTTCTTTCAAGTGTATCAGTTGCAATCAATGACGAGGCGGAAAATCAAGAAATAATCCATTTTTCGCTTCGATCATTCATATTTCAGCTCTATCGAGATTTGTGTGAACTTCCCGGGTCATGTCGCCATCGTCTCCTTCTGCGTCGGCTTCCTTATAGACTGGCATCCTTGCCATGCAGGAATGAGCGCTTTCCGACTGAATACGAGCTTCTCCGCAGGGTAAGTGGTTCACCATGTCCCTTGGGAGATTCGCGGTCGACCAGATCTGACTGAGATGTAGTATATCTGTCCATTCGGATGCCAGAAGATCAGACGACTCGATATGCCTCCAGGATCCTGGCCGACTATTCATTTCCCAACGCAGCATCCGATATCGAGATATACATATATGCATCTCGTGTATCTCAACTCGAATAACATCCTTTCACACCGAGCGGTCGGAAAAAGCGTCCACAGCTGCGAGATCGGCCTCCATTCCCGTGGCGGCCATTCCCACGTCGGCGGCGCCTTTCCATACTGGAGAAAAACTCCGACTTGCTCGGAATCAGAAGCGCTGGTCCGCTCTTCTGCTCTCCTGATCTGATGGTGCGAATTCCTGATACTGATGGAAACTTCGAAGCTCGGATATGATCAGGTCGGCAAGGAAACAAAAAATCTATCGACCGCCGGAGATACTGATTTCGGTGAGTTTCCGCGCGACAACGAGTCGACCCCCGACATCAACCAGATGCTTACGCCTGACCTCATGTCCGTCCCGAGCATCTGGGATGCCGATAGGTTCCGCTGGACGATCTCCTGAATACAACGGTACATGCGCGAGTATCCATGTCCCTGGATACATAGCACGTTTTATTATCAATATCTCGCGATAATGGTAGAAGACTGTCAGAGAAAAACGATGAGGAGCCCCGAAACATCGCGTATATTGCGAGGAAAGTCACGATCCCGACCAATCTTGTCATTCATTTATCGCAATCATAATCGTTCATTTTTCATCAGTCAACCTTGAGCGCCGAAGTTTTTTAGATCCCGCTCAATTTCTGGCTAATTGAGTGGCTCACACGCTCCGGCAGATCGTGGTCTTTTTTTTCAAGTTTAGCTTCGCTTGAAACTTCTGAAATGATTGAGCTTCGGGGTGCAACGACCAGGGTACCATTGGATGATCAGGGTATCGCTCATATGAACAGGAACCTTAATTGACAGCCCCGCGAGGAGCCGAGCGAAGACGACCCTCTATCGTACAAGCAACGTCCTTCCACGAAATGAGATGGAGCTCTTGCCCACACTTTGTGGTAAGCGCTGACCATGCGGCTATCATGTTATCGGTCGCCTTTCCGGTATACGATCTCGATAGCGACACACCGTCCCTAGCGCCCAACACATGATTCCTCGGGTTGTGGCGAACCAATCATTGATTCGAGACGACGGTATCCGACGGTACGATGCTCCATGCCTCTTCCGTCCTCGAGATGCTGGAGCGGCTGGGCGTTTGACGGTTCTCTCTCCGGACGTCTCTCAACAATGATTAAATCGAGATCAAACGAAAGAGCCTCCTGACACCGCGGGTTCCCGAGATGAGATCGACTTAATCTGCATGCAATATGATCAGCGAAGCGTCAATCGGTAGGTGGCAAGGAGAGGCCCGCCAATCGGTCCTAGCAGACGCCAGTGTTGTCATGATGATGACAACCACCACCACACCACCGATGCAGGAAAACCCTCTCCCCGTTTCTCGCGCGTTCGTCGTTCTCCACACTCGAGCCGTCGTCGTCGACGTGCGTATCCTGACTCATCATCGCGACAATTACGACCTCGACGGCCAACATGCCCCGATCCGCGATATCGTATCCGCTGAAAGCCGAGCTCGTTCCCTAGTATCCGGGGCCTGCGTGGAATCGAACAGCGCAGACGACGTCCACTCCATAAGGGAAGGAAAAGAAGAGCTTCGGTTGTTGTCTGTTGTCGTCGTCGAAAGAGTGCCGTCTCTCAAATGTTGTCGTTTCGCGAAGGAATGTAAGATGGCAGCGCGCACTGGTTGTCGATAGAGGGGAAGAAGAAATCGCTGCCGTTGTTGTTTTGTTGTTGTATTGTTGTCGTTCGCCCCGCAGATTCGGTGTGCTCGCTTCGACAGGCGACCCGAGTTGACGCGCTATCCGGCAAGGCTGTGTGTGGCTGTCAGAACCATCTTTATTTCGGTGACTTCGAACGTCGCTCCATTTGGCCTGGGAAGCAAAATCTGCACCGTGGATGCCCCTGCTGCCTGACAGCGAGCTGTGGAAGCCAATCGAGCTCTTCGCCTCCCACAACCGCGCTGAGCTGTCCCAACCACGGGAATTCCGATTGGCAACGACATCGAACGTAAGAGCCTCTTCAGCAATAACAACAATCGAGAGTCAACAACACCTCCCGCGATAACGGCATCCCCAGCCGCGAAATCCGCAGTGACGGCGGCAACAACAACAGCAACGACGGCTAGCTCCACGGACGGCTCAACAATCACCCTTACGCCGACCATCGCCTGCGTAAACGACGGCGAGGAGGAGTTCTAGCCCTCGTCGTCGGGTTGCGGCTCCGAACCGCCGACAGTGTGTGTTGATGTCACGTTCCGAACGGCCGTATCCGTGGCGGCTGTGTCTCGTCTCTTGTCGTCCTTTGTTGTTGTTGGTCCTGTGGTGGTCGTCGTCGTCGTTGTCGTCACTGTCCTTTTCGTTGTCATTGTAGTGGAAGTGGTAAACGTCGTCGCTGTCGCCGTCATCATCATTGTTGTCGTCGCGTGGACATCGCCAAAGGCATCTACACCACCGTGTCAGTGTACCTTGTGTCGAAGGCCCTGGACTGAGGCTCCTCACTACCCAATCGAAGATCATGAAGTCATCGGGTTCGTTCAGGGAGCAGGTGGCCACTGTGAGCAGCTGGTTCGACCAGTGGAACCCGTGCGAGCAGACTGTTGCCCTGTACTCACTCCTGAAGAAACTGGGTCCGGTCCAGGGTCGGTTTTTGGGACTGTGTCTCTCCCAACAGGGGCTACAGGCTTCGAAAGACATGAAGATCAACGAACAGAACGCCAACGACCCCGGTTTCGTGCGTGGACTCGACAGCGCTTCGCAGTTGGTCGTCCACCTGCCCCTGCTCCGGCCTGGGAACGATAACGCGAAGCAAGTCTACCTCGAGCAGATTCCAATAGCGTTATCCACGGCTGTCGACACGTGTCTCGAAGTCGAAGAGGCGAGACAACTCCTCAGCTATGCCCTGATCCATCCCGCCCTTGGCAGCGAAGAGCGTCGGGCTCTCGGCCTCTGGCTCAAACACCTCGAGCATTGCATAGCCTCCCCTCAGATCACGCATGACTCCACGAACAACAATAATAATAAACATATTAACGTCAACCACAACAACAACAACAATAATATTATTAACAATAACAATAATAATAGCAACAACATGAACAACAACAACAACATCAACAACAGCATCAACTACGATCCCGCGATGAAGGACGTCACGGGATGGTTGAAAACCCTTCGTCTGCACAAATATTCTCCGCTCCTCATGAGTATGTCCTACGACCAGATGTTGATGTTGAACGAGGACCAACTCGAAGCTCACAACGTGACTCAGGGAGCCCGCAATAAATTGATTCTCAACATCAAGAAGCTTCAGCAGCGTCAAATGCGCCTACAGGCCCTCCAGAAAGACATCGAGTGCGGCAACGGGGACTTGAAGCAAATCATCGAGGAAGTCCGTTCCATCCTGGTCACACCCATGAAAGCTTATCCTCAGGAGCCTGTCCCCCTACAGGACGACGACATTCCCAGAGAGATAACGCGAGTGCTCGCCAAGATCTGTTCCACTCTGTTGACATCGCCCGTCTTCGATCACAGCCTGGTCCCGGCCTATGTACAGCTGCTGGACCGTTGTCTCGCGCATGATCAGTTCTGCCAAACCCTCAAACGTCGGATTTACAGTTGGAAACAGCAGATCGCGAAATTTGGGGCCCGAAGGAGGCCCTACACCCTACCGTGGATGAGCAAAGACATGCCCGGTGTGCCAAGCAGGACGGCGAATACGTTGCCTTTCGGAACTCGACCCTCGAACATTGTGGATCCGGATTATGAAGACCGTTTGGAGTCTCTCTGCTTGTCGGTGACCGAGCACGCTATCGGCGACACCTTCCACAGCTAGGCAAGTGATTTTGGAATTTTGCGGTTTCCCCCATATTTTTCTCCTCAAGTTCTCTCAATACATACCCAGATCAATTTAGATACCTAGTATTCTCGGAGTACTCCATCTCGCCGAACATCCCTTCATTCCGATAGCCCGAAGTGGTCATCGATCAATACTGTTTACCGGTACTCGGCTCTAGGCGGGATAGTCGCGCGGATAGGCGATCTTCGAAATTAGGAGAACGCGACGATGATGTCATAAGTACTGTTTGATGCGTCATCGGTCTGGCTGCTTTTTATTGCCGCCGCGTTACCCGGCACGCTTCACAAAAGTCTCAGAAACGTTAACGATTGCGAAATACTTAATTTGCTGGCTTTTATGAGGCCTCCCCACGTCCCGATGATCCCGATCGCATCGATTCAACAGCTCCGATCCCATGAGAATATAGTGGAATAATAATTCTTGTTCGACTCCGAGTTTGGACCGCTCAGATATCCGACCGAGAGCTAATCCTGGAGACACGATTGCGGCTCCCGAGGCAATTCCTACGGTCAGCTCTGACTTCGTGTTTTTCCCTTTCGACGAAATGACACGCTTAAGGAGTCGTGGGACTCTTCGAAGAGTTGCTGGTTCTCGTTCGACGATCCGCAGCTCACGTAAATTTCTCCGAGGCTGCCTCCCATGAAATTCATGAGCCTACTTGTGACTTGCGTGTCCCGGTGACATCACGACGCTCGATCGAAAGGGTTCGATTGTGTTATAATTAGCGAACGCCGAACACTCACGACAGCCTTTTATCTTTGGACACGCATTACGCGAAGTGAATGCACACACATTGTTTGTGTTAGGCATGGCTACAAACAATTTCCTTCACGATAGATAATACATTCGACGTGAATGATTCGGCACGTATTCCTCCTCTCGATGATTTGCTGACGCTGATTTGAATTCAATGGGCAGACCAACGGATACGCTGTGCATGGCGGCGAATGGAAGACGTCGAAAACCTTATTGAGTCGCGAGCCGTGATGTTTTTATCCACTCGAGATAATTCAATGACGACTTCATGGTCATTATCAGTGGAACTGTTTTGTGTTTCCAATCTAGCCTCATCTCTCACACATTTCCTCTCGTGGCCGTCCTGCAGTATTGTCTGATGTTGTTGTAAGGGGCTGATTTGACCAACTGGATGAAGGTCGAGCTCATTTTTCGTGGGACCCGACCGGCTTTGTTTTCGGGTAAAAAACTTCGTTTTGAGTGACTTCAAGTCACGAATTATGACTCAGGATCAGGACTCTGAACTCGGGGTGAGCTCTCCGCGGAATAGATTCTTCGCTTCCGACAATCCCGAACGCTCTCAGAACTTTTCCAACGAGAGTCCTATCTCTGCTCCTGGGTTTCGGACGGATAATTATTCAGGAGTTATGGAAAAGAATTCGATAGCATTCTTGCTCACACTCGTGTCGAGTTTTAACTTTGAATCATGGACTTTCCGAGTCACTAGGAGGAGAGGTTCGACGACTGCTGGTATCGCTGGATGCGGAACTCCGGCTCAAGTTTCTTCCCTCCGTATGAGGAGCTTCCTCTTCATTTTAAATGGTCAGATAGCCCCGTGTGTTTCTCATGCTCACTCGGAATTGACAACCGCGTCATATTATTCGCCTTATCATCGAATGCTGCAGCGGGTCTGTTCGTCCGTCCCCCCGACGGCGTCCCTTCGTTCGGTTACAAAGGCAATTGCCGTAACCCGTTATGCCGCAACGTGAAGCGGGGTCGACCCTAACCATCTGACAATGAAGAAGCGAAGATTCTTCGCAAGATTCTCCAAAACATTAGACGGGTCGTTTGACGTGAAACTTGTCTACTTTCGTGGAACTTCGCCCCTGCTAGATCAACAGTGCTCTGCGGTACTTCTCTCCTCGGACGTTTTGGTAGACGTTTTTTGTTCAAACAAATTACTGCCGGCTTTTTTCTTCGCGGTGATTCCCGGGACGACTTCGTGGATTTGCGCCCAACACTCTCTAGCTGTCACGACGATTTTTCCGCGAAAAAAGCTCGAGCTATTCAAGATCGAGCTCGACCATCATAGTCCGCTCAGATCCGCTACACTCGCGAACTCTGTGGATACTTGGAGTCGTCAATTTTATCAATCATCCTCCAAGACGGATCGGGTTCCCCCAAGTGTGAAAACTATCCGACTGAACAGCGTGGAACAACATCGCCAGTCAGAGTCTACCTGCTTGCTTGTTCGGTCGGATAATTGCTCGCTCGGTCGGGTTCCCGGTCGGACGCTTCACAGCAGGACTCGTTTTCTGCTATGGTGTCAAGGTCTTGCCACAATGTGTCTTCGAACTTCGCGGGCTATGAAGTCGATTTATCAAGTGTTAGTAGAGTGTAATAGATAGGATGGCGGATACTTATTGTCCGCAACTCTCACGACTAATCCGTCTGACCGATGGCTCAATTTCCATTCAATCCGAAATACTTCGCCCTCTCTCCGCGATTCGATGCTACGGAAGAATTGGAGACACCGTCAATGAGTCTGGTTCTCTCCATCTCTATGAGCAAAAAGGTGCGTGTTGCGTTCACCGTGTTAGCGAGCTGTCGCTCGTGTGGAATTTTCATAGCGTGGTTGCTTGTCCGACTGCACAAGCGAGCGCTGCGGGTTTTGCAGTCCGTTGCTTTCGTATTGACGGCCGAAACCTTGACACAAAAATGTTTCTGAAACCGACAGCTCCGGCAAACCGAGTCTATCTGGCGGAACGGCTTCAACAAACATAAATTTCGAACCTCGCACTGCGGATCCACTTGCCAACATACTCGCGCGAGAGCTCCCGTTCACCGACTCGGTTCATTGTCGTTTCCACGCTACTGCAATAATTTGTCATTCTCTTCGATGAACGATAGATCTGAAAGATACCAAGCGATAAGGAACCGGTGATTCGTTCCTGGGGTCCGGCTGTTTTCGGCAAAAACATTGCGATAAGTCCGCTGCTGAAGAGCCGTGAGCCCCGGGTCTATTTCATGAAGGTCATCCGGCGGAATTCCACTGAGCCTTATGGGAACAATGCAGGGGACGCAGTCTGATTGTCATGACATCCGATGAGTCCCGGTATCTCCTCCATCTCACGAGAAACGAACGAAATGAGGCACTCACTCGAGCTCGAGTGAATTTTCGGCAGGGGCAACGGGCCGCAGGACGCATCCAGAGCTAAATAATGAGCCATTTCGCTACCGTTCCCTTATCGTTATTGTGCGTCGTGCGTCCATTATCTATTTTCTCGTCAGTTTTCCTCTCACTTCCTCTTCGTGGACTTTCTGTTGTCGCGCTCATCCCTTACGAACAATACGTCGCTTCCCATTGGAATAAAACCATGGCTGGTCGATTGCGTTGGAGCCGTTTGTCGAATGACTTGAGCTGAATCGCTGCTTGTGTCGCGCTGCGTTGCCTCATCGGTCGGCGCGGCACCGCTTGATCGCCCGCCGACGCCACAACTCCGAACTGAAGTCCCGGTTACGAAGTATTGTTGTTGTCGCTGACAGAGATGATGTCAACACTGATGTGAAGCGTCAGTCGGAAGAACAAGGAGCAACGTCACTCGCAACACCCTTCCTCCTCCTCGAATAAGTATTACTTATTGACGTTCGATTTTTCTCTCCTCCACAGGTGGAACCGCGACGACGCTCGAGTGAATTCGATGTTGAGGGAACGGAAAGAAAACGGTGAACGGTGATGGACAGACGGCGGCCGTATCGGCCAGCGAGTCGAGGACCCGGGCCAGCGAGTCGACGAACATCATAGGTATCAGGAAACCTGTATAAAATGAGGATCAGGAGTTGATCTCCTGATGTTTCGGATAGTGCTAGCCCGACAACTCGCCAACGAGTGCAAGGGGAAACCTCAGACGGAATTCTCGACGACCAGGCTCTGGTGTAGAGCTCAATAGTCGGTGCGAAGTACCCGGGAACGATTTGTATCGACACGCGGTTTGATTCGAATCAGAGCTGGACCTCTATGTTTTTCGGGTCCCCACACAGGACGTGGCGTGAACGCAATACTTCATTAGGATCCTCGGAAGACATAAGCACCGTGCGCTGGCGGCGGTGTATTTGTTACGCTACTATGTATTTTGAGGCAGAGAAGTTCCTCGAAGGACAAGCTTGTCGCGTGGCAGGAAATGGACGAGAGCGAGGGGAGGAGCTGCGGAGCCGCTCTGAACTCGCTCGATTGCATCCCAATCAGATCGTATATCCTTGCCTTCAGTCGTACTTATGGAGAAGTTCCGAGTCAAGTATTCAATCTCGAGGCGGTGGAGATTCTAACGCTTCGATTAGAAGCAGTTCCTAGCAAGATCGCATCCGCCGCTTGTACCAATTTGATATAGTGACCCTCTGAAGTAAAGTTCGATTTATCTGGGTTGAGTTGATTCCGGTGGTCGAGAGCATTCGATCACCGATTCGATTGCCTGAGACTATCTACCGAGTATACCTTGAATCCTGTGACAAAATAAAACTGTCTAGTATATCACATGGGACTAACTGTTCTGGCTCTTGTTCTTCTCTTCGCTTGCGCGGCTCCGCATGTCACACGGGCTCACTCCGAGCCTTTGGACGAGTTTCTGGGTCTCCGAACTTGCGGGAGTCAGGAGGCTGCAAAAAATCATTTGCGATGCCGATTTCACCATTTCAGGCACTGGCTCGAATGCCCGAATGGATGAAATGAATGGAATAGATGAAATTACGGGCGGGTAGCAGACCGCTCCGCGAAGTCGAGCATCTTCTCTCCAGATGGTCACCAAAATTGAGCTTTTGAAACCTAATGGCCAGGAAGGCTGGGCCTTTGTGACCCAGCTTCACATCACTTGATTTGGGATCCATTTTTACTACCACGAGGATAACGCTGATTATTGCGTCACATACAAACTTTATTGATATTCGATACATCCGACGCATAATCAACAACATATCGGAATGAAACGTGGGCGGGGAGGCGGCAGTTCAGAGCCACGGCTGTGTGAGCTCACAGCGGATTCCATAGTATATTAATTTGCTCGACGCTTGGACAAGCAATTATCTTCAAATCGTCTTCGGTGAAGTTTTCCTCAAAAACGTTATTCAGCTTCTGGTAGAAGGCTGCGGTCTTCGTCTTGATTGGTTTGAAAAGGATGGCTTCAGTGTCTCTATTCGCAAGATACAAACTCATCGCTTTCTGAACCTTCAGCAACCTCTCTTTGAGTTCTCGATATGCGGCCGAGAGAACCTTCGAAGCGGCACTTGGTTCCGCGAATGGCTGCTTACTCAGGACGATATTAGAGTCCTTCTGCGAAACAATAACCAGACACCGATCCAAGAAATTTTTCAGCTCCGCTCCGATGAGGTAGGTACTCGTCTCATCGATGAATCGCTCGCAAACATATTTCAATTGTTTGTCGACCGCTTTTTTCGAGTCGATGAGGCTCTCCTTGACCTGGGGAGTGCCTTCGAAGAGGAATTCGAGCAGAGCGTTGTTACTGCCCAATGAGAAGAGCCGATTCGTGTTGTTCATGAGACTCAGGGCTGCATCGCGAATTCGGGTGAAGTCCAGCGAGGTTTCCTTGATGGCGAAATCGATTTGGAAAGGTGCGATTTGTTCGCGCAGAATCAGGAGGTGTTTTATCTCGAAGAGACGACCGTGGAGCGGGACTTTGTTCCGCTTTGAAATCGCATCCGCGGCGAGCACCAACGATTCGATACACATCGCGAGAACTTCTTGCGACAAGCCTTGGAAAATGGATTTCTGAAAGGAGACGATCCAGGGGGTAGGTCCAGCACAGGAATAATTTTCTTCTCCAGAAATATCGATCACAAAGAATTCAGCGATTTTTCCTTAATTCTTTCCGGGATCACATGCTGTTCTCCCCTGTCAGGACTTCGGATTCGATCACTTACGTCGAGACATCTGTACAGTTTTGACAAACACAGCAGCGTCCGTCTCACCGTCGGATACCACATTCCGTGTATATCGGCGGGAGATGCTGAAGCTGCCCCCGACGTGGACGAATGCCGTCGCCTACTCTCCACCGACACCGCGCTCTCAGACGCGATAGAACCTCTGCATGAAGAATGACGGAGATTATTTGAAACCACGAGAGACGTCGGAAATTTCCCATTCCCATCCCACGATACGATCAGCCATTCCCGAAGCCCTCCCCCGAATCCAAACTCGACCCACCTTGACGAACTCCGGCTAAGGGGGGCGGCGCCGGCCAAGGTTTCTGCGATGTTCTGCATCATTTCCAATTTCTCCGGATATGCCAAATCCCCAGGGGCAGCGTTGTACCCCAGTATGTCGCTCCGTATGTACACCAAGGTCCTGTAGACGAGACGTTCTTGAACGTCCTGCAGCATTCCGTGAAGACACTCCTTGAAGGCACGGACGTCCGTCGCAGACTCCTCTTGCTTGAGTATGGAGCACAACTCCGATAAGGTCTCGAGGTGGATGACATGGACGACGACGGGCCGGAAAGCATCGTAGAGTTTCACGCAGAGCGACGACAGAAAGTCGTCGAGGAAAATGCTTGGCCTGGGAATCGAATCGAAGAGATAAGGAGAAGAAACTAATGCCTCGGGAAACTATCGAACACTGATGCTTATGGTAACTCACTTCGAGAAGAATTGGAAGTACAGCTGTGTCTCGTCGTGACACAATCGTGCCAGCAAGGCAGATCCCTGTCTGAGGAACGAGCAATGATCTTTTGGATGCTTATCCCTCAGATCCTGGATTGCCTGGTTGAGACTCGAGGACAGTAACATGTTTCTCTGCGCGAAATAAGTGTTCTGTACTTCTTCTAGAATATCGCTGTATAGGTTCGAGGGAGCCATTCTTTCTTCGATTTGAGCGGTAAGGCTCTTGATTCTCGGAGCGTGACTCTTGAACTTGACGTAGAGCAGCGTGAATGTGTCAAGATCAGGGTCGGCTTGAGCACTTCGTTGCGAGACTGCCTGGACCTGTCGAGCGCTCTGTTCGAGCGTCGACGACACGTAGGACTTGATCATCCCCAGAGCGGTCGATTGCAGGTGTCTATAGCGGATTGCGTAGTTGGTCGATTCCTTGTAGTTCGGCTGAGAGGATGGGAAATACGAGAAACAATTCAGTACGGAGACAATCACGGTAACGCAAAGCGGACATTCCTGATCCGGACAGTACTCACGTGACTTTCCAAGAAGTTCAGGCACTCGTCGATCCGCGTCAGGAGCGGGATGAACCCGTCGTTGAGAACTGTGAGCGATGGCGCGTGAAGTTTTCGGGTCAGGGCATCGAGTTCGGAGAAATGACAGAGTTTCGCATTGATCGCCTCGGACACTCCGACCAACTTGGATTGCTCCGATAAGAGAGCCTCGCATGCTGAGTGCAAAGCTCCTGGAACGAAGTCATTGTTTGTACTCGCGCTTCATCCATTTGATATGGGATATGGGTCATGGGATCTCTTCCGTCTTCCGTTCCTCCGGTTTCGATCTTTGAAAGTTCAGCGACCCAGGTATTCCCGCACCTGTCTTATCCGTCACGAACTTGTAGTCCGTCTGAAGCAATTCTAGCTGATGGAGAGCGCGATCGATCTCCGTTTGAAAAGCCCCGCAGTCGGCTCTATATTTCCGGAAGACATCAAGGGCGGAGAGGAATCGTCTGTCCATCTCGCGCTGCATCTCAGGCTCGACGATTCTCTCGAACTGAGATATGAACTGCGGACGGAGGTAAAAAAACACCATCAGTCGGCTGAGTCAGTGGAGGGAGAGACTGAGGGAGCAAAGAGTCGCAGTCTATGGGACTTTCGGCTCATTCCGAACGCCAAACTCTTCCCCGAAAGTTATCCCTGTCCCTTCCAAGACATTACCTCTTTGGCTGTTCCGTACTTGATCTGTAGAGACACCGGCTCCTCCTTATCACCGTCCTTGGTTTCGCTCTGGAAATAAAGGAATCATGCGAATTTTCTCATTCGTTGCTGTTCTCACTCCAGCTCAGGATCCTCCGTTCATTGATGTCGGGGGACTTCATCGCGATTCTGCTTATATTGGAGAGTCTTCCGGATACAGAAGTTTCGAACGTCACTCATTGAAACGTCATCATCCCACTTTCTGGAAGCTTACCCTATCTTCGGTCGAGATTCCCGGAAGGGCCTCGAATCGTTCCAGAATTCCATTCTGGATATCGGAAATAGGAGCCAGAGGCTCGTCGGCATCATCCCATTTGGCTAAAAGTGAGCGAACTTGATCACCTGCCAGAGCCACGGGAGCCGCCATGCTGGAATGCCGGCAGCGACATCCTGCGGCGGCCTCGCGAAAAGCAGTGGTCAACAGAGAATGTATTTATTCATCATGAAACATCAGGAATATACCTCTGTGCATGGAAATATCCTCAAAGATCTCAGCGGACCTCTGAGAGGATGAAATCAGCCCTGGGAAGAATCGGGATTCTCTCGAGCATGTGATCAGACCCTTTCTCTATCGTGACGTCACTCTCAACATCCAGAGAGAATCGCTCGTTTCGATCAATGCTACGGCATACAGAGGCATAAGAAAATTATTCAATGCTTCCTCAACCTCAACACCCACCCGAAATTGGTGAAAATGAGCATTCTGGGGGTACAAAACTGGGGAGGTATGGTGGAAAAACAAAGGCTCTCCGTTTATGACGTCACTGCCCTCTCCCAAGATCGGCTATATAAGCGACGGGCTGCAAGAACAGCTCGGTCGCGGCCTTTCTCAGGCCTAACGGAAGTCAGCGAGAAACATATATTTTTGGATTCGTGCGTGTGTTCCAAAATACTGTCTGACAGTGTTCGAAATAGTTACTGACGAGAGCCGGCACCGCCGAAGAGTGTCTTCAATATGGCTCAAATTATAACTTCGGATTCAAAAGCTACCCTCCGTGAAGTGCGAGAGGTGCAGTTTGGAATTCTCGATCCCGACGAGATCGTAAGTTTTTCACGTTCTGCATGTGTTCGTGTGCAGAAGTCGGTCGGCGCGCATATGGTGCTGCATATGACCGGAATAAAATCTGAGTGCCCTGTAAACTTCTCCCGAAAACTATACTACGACGCAAAGCCACGCTCGTTCTCGCTGTTGCCCGGACATGGCGAAAATTGAGTGGAACTTCTCGGTTCAGAGAAACTCAGATTGTATTCCTCACCAATGAATGGTTCCGTCGCATCGCGGCGTTCGGTCGAGCCGTCAAATGCTTTTTGACAACATTCCTCGGAATATGTCGTCACATGCTGCAACAACAGCCGGCCGGGTGCTTTGGGTTGCGATGCCCGCCATCCGTTCACCCCACTGCTGCCTGACGTACCTCTTGAGCTCAGCCTAATTTGGAATAAAGTAATTTCTGCTCTCATTGAAGACTCCCCCGGACGGAAGACCGTCGATGAAGCGACTGGCCTACTTTCAGGCGAAACGGGGTAGAACTGAAAAAAAAAAGAATGTCCGGAAGCGGAGTCCTGCTCGAGTGCGGTAATACTCCCGCTCCCCGAACCGTACCCCCCTGCGATCACCCTCCGTGGATAACCCGGCACCTGGGAATGATTATATATCAGAGAGAATGATCGATAATTATTCTCGATTCTCATTTCCGTTCAGCGCCGCATGTCAGTGACCGAAGGCGGGATTCGATATGCTGAGATATACGAAGGCAACAGACCCAAACTCGGGGGTCTCATGGACCCTCGGCAAGGAGTCATCGACAGAACTTCTCGATGCCTGACTTGTTCGGGAAACATGACAGAATGTCCAGGTCACTTCGGTCATCTGGAACTCGCGAAGCCAGTCTTCCACGTTGGGTTCTTGACGAAAACCCTGAAAGTGCTGAGATGCGTGTGCTATTACTGCAGTCGACTACTCGTCAGTCCGGTAAGCGGATCCACAAGAGCCATTTGTATATTTATTCTCAATTAAATGATGATGATTTTCATCCAAGCCAGAATAGCCCAATAATGGAGAAATCTTCTCGAACTTCCAGAACCATCCTCGGATGCGCGAGATTCTCACGAAGACCAGAACCATGCAGAGACAGCGGCTGGACAAGGTCTACGAAGTCTGCAAGGCGAAACGCATGTGCGAAGAGAGCGACACGAGCGATAAGGGTCAAGGCGAGCCGACCGAAGAGGAAAAAAAGACCATGCACGTCGGTTGCGGCAGATTCCAACCCAACTATCGTCGTTCCGGTCTCGACATCAGCGCTGAGTGGAAACATACCAACGAAGACAATCAGGAGAAGAAACAAGTACTTACCGCGGAGAGAGTTTACGAGATCTTCAAACACATTTCCGAAGAGGAATGTTTCTGTCTCGGCATGGACGAACGCTACGCCAAACCCGACTGGATGGTCCTAACGGTCTTGGCGGTGCCACCTTTGTGCGTCCGGCCGGCTGTTGTCATGTTCGGCTCGGCCCGAAACCAGGACGATCTCACGCACAAACTCTCCGATATTGTGAAAGCCAACAACGAAATCATTCGGAACGAGCAGAGCGGTGCAGCGCCTCACATCTTGACCGAAAATGTCAAGATGCTCCAATTCCACGTGGCCACTCTCTACGACAACGAGTTACCGGGCCTGCCTCGGGCGATGCAAAAATCCGGCAGACCCCTCAAGTCTCTCAAGCAACGTCTGAAAGCCAAGGAAGGCCGTATCAGAGGTAACCTCATGGGGAAACGTGTCGACTTCTCAGCTCGTACCGTCATCACTCCGGATCCAAACCTCAAAATCGACGAGGTCGGTGTACCGAGGAGCATCGCTCAAAATCTGACGTTCCCCGAAATCGTGACCCCGTTCAACATCGAATGGATGCAGGAGCTCGTGTCTCGAGGGAACAATCAGTATCCTGGGGCGAAATACATCGTTCGGTGAGTAAAAATGATCAATCGATGAAAAAGTACACGCAAGTTCAGGGATACCCCGATCTACTCCGGGAACTCATGTCAACTTCCATGAGCTTTCTTCTAATCACCTGTCCGCGATTTGTCATTCTGTGGCGTTACCGATTTCTTTTCTCTCGTTCCCCAGAGACAACGGCGAGCGTATCGATCTGAGGTTTCACCCGAAAGCTTCAGATTTGCATTTGCAGTGCGGGTATAAAGTCGAGCGTCACGTGCAGAATGGCGACATAATTGTTTTCAACCGTCAGCCCACCTTGCACAAAATGAGTATGATGGGTCACAAGATCCGAGTGCTCCCCTGGTCGACTTTCAGAATGAACTTATCCGTCACAACTCCGTACAACGCCGATTTCGACGGCGACGAGATGAACATGCACGTTCCCCAGTCTCTTGAGACCCGTGCCGAGATCGAACAACTTGCCATGGTGCCCCGGCAGATCATCACGCCGCAAGCCAACAAGCCCGTCATGGGTATCGTGCAGGACACGCTCACGGCCGTTCGGAAGATGACAAAACGCGACGTGTATCTGGAGAAAGACCAGATGATGAATCTGCTCATGTTTCTCCCCATATGGAATGGGAAAGTTCCCATACCGGCCATCCTCAAACCGAAACCCTTGTGGACAGCGAAACAGCTCTTCTCGCTAATCATTCCCGGTAACGTCAACCTCATCCGGACTCATTCAACGCACCCGGACGAGGAAGACGATGGACCCTATAAGTGGATATCTCCCGGAGACACAAAGGTCATCATCGAGCACGGTCAGCTGTTGTCCGGCATAGTTTGTAAAAAAACTGTCGGAGCCTCGGCGGGCTCGCTCATGCACGTCCTCTTCGTGGAGATGGGTCACAGAGTCGCAGGTGCTTTCTATTCCCATCTGCAAACAGTTGTGAACGCTTGGCTGTTATATGAAGGACACTCGATCGGTATTGGGGACACCATCGCCGACCAGCAGACCTACATGGACATCCAGAACACGATTAAGAAAGCCAAACAGGACGTGATAGAAGTCATAGAGAAAGCTCACAACGACGAACTTGAGCCAACGCCCGGAAACACGCTTCGGCAGACGTTCGAAAACCAGGTGAATCGAATCCTGAACGACGCTCGAGACAAAACAGGAGGTTCTGCCCAAAAGTCCCTGTCCGAATTCAACAATTTCAAGTCCATGGTGGTGTCAGGAGCCAAGGGATCAAAGATCAACATCTCCCAAGTTATTGCTTGCGTGGGCCAGCAGAACGTTGAAGGGAAACGTATCCCCTTCGGTTTCCGTAAGAGGACGCTGCCCCATTTCATCAAAGACGATTTCGGACCAGAATCAAGAGGTTTCGTCGAGAACTCCTACCTCGCCGGTCTCACTCCGTCCGAATTCTTCTTCCACGCTATGGGAGGACGTGAAGGTCTCATCGATACCGCCGTGAAGACAGCTGAGACCGGTTATATCCAACGTCGTTTGATCAAAGCCATGGAGTCGGTGAGTGATCCCCCTTCGATTATTATCCACAATGAACCTTCGGAGGTCTGTTATTCCTGTTCGGAAAAGAGAGTCCATTACCCCGAAACGCACTGATTTATGGACATTGGCTGAGGGCAGATTTATTCCCCAACAGGTAATGATCTGTTACGACGGAACAGTTCGGAACTCCAATGGTCAGGTTATCCAGTTCCGATACGGAGAGGATGGCCTCGACGGCTGTTGCGTGGAGTCGCAATATCTCACTACAATAAAACCCTCGAACCGGCAATTCGAACAGAAATTCCGATTCGATGTCACGAATGAAAAGCTTCTGCGGAAGGTGTACACCGAAGACGTCATCAAAGAGCTCAACAGTTCAGCGTCGGCCGTGGCTGAAATGGAGCGCGAATGGGATTGCTTGAAGAAGGATCGCGAGATCCTCCGAAATGTTTTCCCGACCGGAAGCAGCAGCGTCGTTCTCCCGTGCAATTTGAGCCGTATGGTTTGGAATGCCCAAAAAACCTTCCGAGTGAACTCCCGAGGAAAGAGTGACCTCAGTCCCCTACGGGTCATCGAAGGTGTCGAGAGCCTTGTGAAAAAGTTGATAATTGTGCCCGGTGAAGATCATCTCTCGATTCAGGCGAACGAAAACGCCACCTTGTTGTTCAGAGCTCTGCTGCGGTCGACTCTCTGCTCCCGAAGAGTGGGTCAGGAGTTCCGGTTGTCGACGGAAGCGTTCGACTGGCTCCTCGGTGAAATCGAGGCCAGATTCCATCAGTCTCAGGGTCACCCAGGAGAAATGGTTGGGGCGCTAGCCGCTCAGTCTCTCGGAGAACCAGCCACCCAGATGACACTGAACACTTTCCATTACGCCGGAGTGTCCGCTAAAAACGTGACGCTCGGTGTACCGCGTCTCAAGGAAATCATCAACATATCCAAGCAGCCGAAAACCCCGTCCCTGACGGTGTTCCTCAAGGGCGCATCAGCCCGAGACGCTGAGAAGGCCAAGGACGTCCTGTGTCGACTCGAGCACACGACGCTCCGGAAAGTCACGGCCAACACCGCAATCTACTACGATCCGGATCCTCAGAACACGGTCATCGCCGAGGATCAGGATTTCGTGAACGTCTATTACGAAATGCCTGATTTCGATCCGACGAAAATTTCCCCGTGGCTCTTGCGCATCGAGTTGGATCGCAAGCGAATGACGGACAAGAAACTCACCATGGAGCAGATCGCTGAGAAGATCAACGCCGGATTCGGTGACGATCTCAACTGCATCTTCAACGACGACAACGCCGACAAACTCGTGCTCCGGATAAGGATCATGAACAACGACGGCGACAAGTTCACCGACGGCGCCGAGGAACAGGCCGACAAAATGGAGGACGACGTCTTCCTCCGGTGCATCGAGAGCAACATGCTCTCGGACATGACGTTGCAGGGTATCGAAGCGATCTCCAAAGTGTACATGCATTTACCAACGACCGACGACAAGAAACGAATCGTTGTCACCGAAACCGGAGAGTTCAAAGCGATTTCCGAATGGCTGCTTGAAACCGACGGTACCTCGCTGATGCGGGTTCTATCCGAGAGGGACGTCGATCCAGTGAGAACGTACTCGAACGACATCATCGAAGTGTTCTCCGTGCTCGGCATCGAAGCCGTTCGAAAAGCTGTCGAAAAAGAAATGAATCACGTCATCTCGTTCGACGGTTCCTACGTTAACTACAGGCATCTGGCTCTTCTTTGCGACGTCATGACCGCCAAAGGCCACTTGATGGCCATCACACGTCACGGCATCAATCGACAGGACACGGGAGCTCTGATGAGATGCTCCTTCGAGGAGACTGTCGATATTCTAATGGACGCTGCATTCCACGCAGAGGCTGACAAGCTCAAAGGCGTGTCCGAGAACATCATTCTGGGAAAACTCGCGCGCATGGGAACCGGAGCGTTCGATCTCATGCTCGACGCGGAAAAGTGCAAACACGGTATCGAAGTGAGCATGGCAATCCCCGGAATGGAGGGCTTGCCCGGGCAAGGGGTTTTCTTCGGCTCTGCCGCCACCCCCATGGGGGGCATGAGTCCTCAGATGACCCCGTGGAACGCGGGTCAGACACCTGCGTACGGTATGTGGTCCCCGACCTCGAACATGACCCCCGGGGCCGCGGGATTCTCGCCGTCGGCGCAAAGCGAAGTCGGCTTCTCCCCCGCGTATTCGCCGGCGTATTCGCCGGCGCAGAGCCCGGGCTCGCCGAGCAGTCCCGCGTACTATTCGCCGCTGCATGTTGGCGGATCTTCACCGTCGTACAGTCCGCAGATCACGTCGCCGTCGTACTCGCCGTCGTCGCCTTCGTACAATCTGGCGTCGCCGTCTTACAGTCCGACCAGTCCACAGTACAGCAGTGGGTCGTCGCCGACCACCCCGAGCTATTCTCCTTCGAGTCCGTCGTATTCCCCATCTTCGCCGACGTATTCCCCGTCGTCACCATCGTACAGTCCATCGTCGCCGCAGTACGGAACCGCTAGTCCTTCGTATTCGCCGACGTCACCGTCGTACTCGCCGTCGAGTCCTTCTTACTCCCCGTCGAGTCCCTCGTACTCGCCGTCGTCCCCGTCTTACTCGCCGACGTCGCCGTCGTATTCTCCCAGCTCGCCAACCTATTCGCCGACGTCTCCTTCTTATTCCCCGTCCTCGCCGAAATATAGTCCGACGTCGCCCACTTACTCTCCAGCGTCACCAAAGTATTCTCCGTCGAGTTCGTCGTACTCGCCCTCGTCCCCTTCGTATTCGCCAACGACGTCGCATCATTTCTCCCCGTCGCCGTCGTACAGTCCCTCGTCGCCAACTTATTCGCCGTCCTCTCCGAACATCTCCACATCGCCTTCTTACAGTCCTTCGTCGCCGAAGTACTCCCCGTCCTCTCCAACGTATTCCCCGTCGTCGGCGTCGTACTCACCGTCGTCGCCCACGTACTCTCCGAGCTCTCCAACGCATCAGGGTGCGCACTATTCTCCTGGTTCGCCAACTTATACACCGTCGTCGCCGGCATATTCACCGTCGCGGAGCGAAGACACGGATCAGGAGTGAGGGCTCTTAGGAAGCCTTAAAACAATTTTTATAGGTACTCGTGAGAAATGAAATAAAGACTTTAAAATGTTATTGTCGAACTTGTAGATCAACGGACTCTTTGATCGTGGGTCTCCTGTTCAATTTCAATTCAACTCAACCCAGAAGTCTCCTTCATGCGGAATGGGGTTTGGGTCCAAAAGGAGATAATAGTAGTTGTCTGACACGATTCCTTCATCCGATTCAGCCTCCCATAGCACAATTAGCCGGATCAGTGTTGGACCTCCATCGTTGCTCACTCGACTTCCTATTTCTTGGCGGGACTTCACCATTTCTTTTCTCAGTCTTGAATTCGGTAGCTAGGCTTCGAAAGGCGTCGCGATTCGCGACGTTTCGCCAACTCCCTTTACGGAGGTGTTGCTCTCACTTGCCTGTATTCCAGAAGAAGGTCGGGGCTCGTATCCTTTTTTGGAAAGCCTGACTGTTCTCCTATTTCCGCCGGTTCCCCAATCGCTTCACGCCGCTCTTCCATCGGGCAGAAAAAACAAGCAATCGCGTCCTCCTCGATCGCTCTTGCTTCTGCGTGCAATGACTTCACGCAGGAAATAAGAAACGTCACTTCTCATGGTCTGTTCGAGTGCTATTGACTCGTACTGAACCTGTCGCCGACATCATTTCGATTCATCATTCATCCTTGCACTATCCCTCCCTCGTTGGAGTAAAGAATTCGAGATTCGCTGCGTGTGACTGTAGAGATCTTCGAAGTGCTCAAGCCTTCGAGAATATTTCCCCGACTTCTCCTTGAGCTCTAGACTCTGCGATCCCCGTCGTGAGAGCCCATCGCTCCTAGCTCAACGTGTATCCGGAACCTGGATTCAGGCACCGGTGAATCGCATGGAGCAGCTAAGAAGCGTCATTTGACCCTTCCGACTGCAGAAGTAGATTTTTCCGATGGGTGACCTGACTTCGGGTCTGCTCTGGCTTTGGATTGATAGATCACCTAATGTCGAATCGTTAGGATAAATGCATCAAGAGCGGTCGCTGATCCTTCAGGATTCCTCGATTCGATGAGCGAAGCCTGGTTCTTTCCATGGATATGTTGCTATCGGTTTTGATCCGCAAGTGCTCGGCAGGCAGCCCTGAATAATAAGACCATTCTCTGTTCATAGGACCTTGGCACGCTCTCCATGGGTATGGCAGGAAGTGCCCACTTTGAATGACGTGAGCCGACTCCCTCAAATACTCGGAGTCCACGGGGTAGACGTCCTCACATATAAGTCCGGTAGACCGCTCTTCATGGGAAGCTGTTTTTCCTCCGAAACCACGCGAGTCCGGCTATCCCCCACACGATTTCCGAAGTTTTTTTGTCGGAATTGCAGTCTTCGTGCAGCAGGATATCTTCCACCTCTTTTGAAGACGGCAGACTGCCATCAATGGTATGAGATGCGCGTCCGTCTCGTAAGCCATGGCCCCCTCCTGAGTTGACTGGAGATGATTCATGAGACTGGGAGGGAAGGTCATTGTCATGCGCAGAAGAGAATTAATCCCTCGATTCCGTCGAGAGCCATGAAGATTGGAAAATCTTCGGCATCGACTTGATCACCTCGGATACGGCTGGTGTATTTTAGCGGATGCCGCTCATGCGCTTCCTCTAAGAGAATTACCGCGCTGGAACTCTACTAAACCGATGACGCATCTCTCAGACCAGCTAATGAAGATCCTCAATAAGCCTCTGGATCTTCGGACTCTTGAGAATTGGATGAGATCTCCTCATGAATGAGAATGAGTAATTCATGGATAATTGAGGACAATCACAACATATCAAACATGATTATACATATAAATATCATTATAAATGATTGTAGGTCCATGACTCGCCCTCGCCTGTCAAAAATGTTAACGATAATTAAAAGACGGGGTGCACGGATCCCTAAAAGCTTCACGCGGCGGACGCAACCGGTTCCATTTTTCGTCTGATTTCCTCACCCTTGCCCCATTATGTGTGTCGTCCATCCATTTTCTGTCGGTCTTGGACACCGGATCGCGCCCCAATTAACTGGCGTCGCGACTTTAGAAAGTATCCAGACGGACGCTCGGCTAGATCAGGGCCATCGAAGCGATTCCTTCTCTTTTTTTTCTCAGTTGAACCGAACGGATCGTCAACAGTGACGCTGGCCACCGTCTGTCGCAAGCGGCCGGCTAGTGGGCAAGCGCTCGGTGAAAACTTTTAGCGGGGAGCGCGGGCGAGCGACCCGAAGCAGCAGCTCGGAGAACGGGAGCGAATCAAAACAAAGATGGCGGCACTCATGTGCTGCTGAGGAAGAAACTGAAGGAAAAATTCCAATAATTGCCGTGGGTGACTGGTGCGATTGGCATCGCCGCTCGTGCCGCCATCAGCTCGTCGATCCATCTGCGTGTATCGATCTTCAGCTCGAGAGTGCGTTCCTCACAGTTGGCCTCGCCCATCGACGGTTGCGCATCAGCTGATGTGTGACTTCAGCCACCGACCTCACTCAGCTGGACCGCCGTCGATCAGCAGAAAATGTCACGCTATGAAAGCTGGCAGGACGTACTCGACGATACTTGCGAGCGGCTCCAAGACAATGGCTCGCTCCAGAAAGGCTTCAAACAGCTCTCATCGAACACCGACCGGATCCTCTTCTGCCTTCAGGAAACTCTCACTCAGACCCGAATCGACGAGTGGCTCCAAGTTCTATGCTCGTCACGCCACAAGAAGTTCTGGGAGAAAGCGTTCGAGCTCCGGTCGGCGGGAAACCTCTCTTTCGGAGCCAAGAAGTACCGCGAAGCGGCTGAATTCTACACGCGGAGTATTCTTTTCGCCCCGTTTCCGGATCAGTGCACGAGTGGACCGAACCAGGGACATGCCGAAGAGTTGGCGTTGAGCCTGGCGAATCGATCGGCGGCGTGGTTCTATTTGAACAAATACTCTCTTGCGCTGACCGACATCGCGCAAGCTCTAAACAACGACTATCCGAGCCATTCTCGGTACAAGTTGCATCTTCGACAGGGACAGTGTCTTCTGAAACTTGGGAAATTCGATGAGGCGGCGGTCGCTCTGACCGATGCGGAAATGTCCCTTGAGCTGTCTCCTGGGCTGGACGAAGAGAAGCTGTCGAAACAAATCCGAGATATCGAAATGCTACAGAACAAATGCTCGGCCAAGATTCCGGTGGAGAGTAGTCCGGAAACGGACGACGAGCCTGAAGAAGACGAAATCGTTCAGCCGTCCCCTCACAGCAGCATTCCGAACGCTTCGTCGGCGCTCGATTGTCTCTACTCCACGGAGAAAGGTCGCTTCATCGTCGCGAATAGAGACGTCCGCCCAGGTGATAATCTGTTTGTCGAAAGCCCGTACGCGTCGGTGCTACTTCCGGCTTTCACTAAAACTCACTGTCATCACTGCTACCGACGGATCAAAGCAGCGTTCCCCTGCCGGCAGTGCGCGCAAGTGCGCTACTGCTCGATGAGCTGCTCCGGAGAGAGTTGGAACCTCTACCATTCGCAAGAATGCGGCAACCTGGACCTTCTGATCTCGGTCGGAATCGCTCACTTGGCCGAACGGGTGATCCTCGTAACGGGACTGGGATTGATAAAAGATTTCATGAAGTCATGCAATACGCTCGAGTGCAGCTATTTACCGGTGTATCAGTTGGTCACGCATGAAGAGGACATGCACATCGCGGATCTCTTCCAGTACTCGTTCACGGCAACGCTCCTGCTGAAATACCTCGAAAGGTAACTCCTCGATTTCGGGTCCCCCGTTCGAATCCTCGGCACGAATTAAAAGCTAACTGAAGGGTGCATGAGATGAAATCCGATCGTGACACCGTAGCCCCGAGTCAATGTCTGGAGCCAGGGGTTGGATGGAGAATTTAGGTTAACGTGAACGTGAGCTCATTCGACTCGGGAATTACAGAGATTTTCCAGCTGACCGGACGCTCTTTTCAGGCAGACCACGTTCTTCACTGAGAGCCACCTGTCGGAAAGGTTCCAGGACCTGAATTTACGACATGCGGAACGAGCTCAACCGAAAGGTCAAATTAGGATCGAATGCAGTCGTCCTTTGAAGTTGTTCGTCGGAGGACTTCTCTTGAGACACATACAGCAGCTCATTTGCAATGCGCACGCGATTACGACGATACAGCAGCCAGGCGATCACGTCATCGAAGAAGACGGGATTATTTTGGAACAGGAACAGGTGAGCTGCCAAGTTCCCCATCTCGTCTCGCATGGGAGAGCTAATTATATCTTTTCAATGGGTGTTCGAGATTGGTCATATCGAATCTGTCTGTCGGAGGCACCGTTATTCGGATCGAACGTCTTTCGTGAGCCGTCTCGTTGATATTCAGGTGCGAGTGGCGACAGCTATTTATCCTTCGGCGAGTTTGATGAACCATTCCTGCAATCCCAACATCATCTCGGGCTTCCGCTCCGGATCCACTCTGGTGGTCAAGTCCGTGAGACCAATCGCGTCCGGAGAGGAAGTTTTCAACTGCTACGGCCCGCACTTCCGACGTATGACGTTCCAGGAGCGGCAGACCGCTCTCCAAGAACAGTACTTTTTCCGGTGTGATTGTACGGCGTGTCAGAAGGGAGACTTGGATGATCAAATCTCCATGGCGTTACGGTGAGTCCCCGAGATCAAATATCTGGCGGAGTCTCATCGATTCCGGTCTGTGGAGGTATTTCATCATAGTTCCCCGTGAAGGTCTGACCCATTTTCTTCGGCAACCCCGCTCAACCGTCCACGTTAAATTCTAGTTGCGAGTACTGCGAGGGTCCGCTTTCGGCGGTGCAGTCCTCGGGCAAAGCCGACTGTCTGCAGTGCAGCACAACGCAGGATTGTCTCGAGAAGGAGCAGAAAGTCTTCCGCATGCACGACCTCTTCGTGCAAGGTCTGCAACTTGCTGAAATGGATAGCCATGGCGAAGCCCTGGAACGACTCCAGAAGTGTCTGGCCAGTCAGGAGAAACTGCTCTACCGGCACAACAAGCAGCTGATGATAACTCGTGATATGGTAGCGAAGAGTCTCTGCGCTCTCGGTCGTTTTAGAGATGCCGTCGGAGTTTTGAAATCGGCCGTGGAAAGTGTCCGACACATGTACGGCAAGAACAGCATCGAACTCGGAAATGAATTGCTCAAGTTTGGAGACGTGTTGATGAATGCCACGGAGGAATCTTTCGCCAAATCTGGATACTCACGAGAGCTCGGCACATTGATTGGAGATACGAAGCGCGTCCTTCTGCAGACGGAACCTATTTTCCTCCTGCACTACGGCAAAAGTCATCCGGCGATCGCAGAACTCGGTGAAAAAAAGAAAAACTCGACTCCTTTATACAACGACTGAGCAAGCTCAGATCGAGCCCTGGTAATTGAACAAACGAATCGAAATCTCCTCAGTCAGACGAAACGCTGTGACATCCGTGGCGGCGTGCGCGGAATGTCACTTGGGTCGGGACCCGCTGGGAACGATTCCAGCTGTGCATCCGATGCGGCTGTCGGATGATCTGATTTCTCTATTTATAACGGATACTTACCTGTTTGACGTACTAAGCGCAATAAATGTCTATCTGATGTTTCGACGCTCCCCGTTTTCCTTCAACTATGGATTTTGGGCTGGAGAGAGCTCCTATTTAGTGTCGGTGGGGATTGTATGGGGAAAGCCTTCGACTCCCCTATTGACGATTCGGAAGCGCTGGGATACCGAGTGAGCTAACGAGTGTGTTGGACGATCGATCAAGGAGCAATAACGATGTCAACGTCCGCGGAGGAGGTCGGGATCGTTCTGAAGACGGGAAGGTCGAAAACTCAGACGATTCCGGCGTCGGGACCAGGCTGGTTCCATGCTGTGCGGAAGGCTTGGAAATCATTCCGAGGATACTATGGGGAGATGATCCACCCAATAAAACCTGTGGGTCTGAGGAGGTGCGATCGCGATTCCCAGAAGCTCGCGCTCTATGCTTATCAGAGAACTCGCCAAAAATATATTCAGGCAACGCATCCTCATCGGGGGGTGCTCCTCGCCGGAAACATCATCTGGGCCCTGACGGGATTCTCGATATTGTACGTGACGATCTTCGTCAGCAGCGTAGACTCCGACGGGGACCTCAGGAGCGATCTCGCGATCATGGCTGTACTCAAGATGAACATCATTTTCTACCTCGCGACGCTCGTCATTCTCGTTGCCGCTGCTATCGGGATCATCGCGTCCCTTAGGTGGTGATCATAACGCATTACGGTGGATTTTTTGAGCCGTGCTATTTGTGTTCATTTACCCAGAAGTTTCGCTTCGGAGCGAGATCCATCCTCAGGGTGAGAGACTGAGTATCGGTCTTTTCTCATTCCTCAGGGAAAGCGGTTTCCTCCTCCGATGGTATGGCAACTGCATGACCGCGATCCTGTTCCTCACGAGCGCCCTGATTCTCATTCTCGCGCTGAGCCTGTACGTTCTGGAAGGTTACATCACTGAGGCAATAACCGAGGTCGCCGTCGTCAGATATTCGGATAATCTGCACTTCAAACGGTTCGTACATTCGCTCTTCGAGGACGATGATTCCATCAAAAATTTGATTCCTTGTACTCCCCCCTCAGGAATGTCGATGATCTCCAAAGGAAACACCAGTGCTGTGGAATTGTGAGCTACAAAGATTGGAATCGAAACCCGTATTTCGAATGCACCGAAACGAGTCGCAGTCAATATCGATGTCAAGTGCCGCAGTCGTGCTGTAAGAAGAAATGTGAGACCCGCTCAGCTCTCTTTCGCATTCGTGGGGATTGAATTCGTCCCATTCCGGAATATATTTTCGGTGATGGAGTTGGTTCACAAGACGGCTGCTGAGGCTGGAGGTGTGAGGAATCGATAACTAATTTCACTATTTCTCAAGTTGTTGGGGCGGCAGTATGTCATCGACCCGCGCTGAATCGGTCGTCCCCCGACGTTTTCCAATATATCCACGCTGCCCCATGCTTTCAACACTTCAGTCGGGTGATAGGACTCGAATTGAAACGATATCTCGAGCTCAACTGTCTGTTCCTGATTTTTCTGTCCGTTCTGAACTTCTCGGCGCGCGAATACGGGAAGACTCTCAAGATTTGTGTCTTGTGGTCGAGACAAGTGGAATCGTTCATGGAGGAACGGCTCCCACACGTCGAAGAGAAGTGCAATGCGAAGGTTCGTTTATCGCAAAAGAAGCACCTAGCAGGAGAGCAGATCGATCGACAAATAAGCGTTCGGAGAGTGCTTCGAGCTCAATATCCCGCTGAGCTCTCTCGTTCTCGACTCACGGTGTCAGTAGAATACAGTGAACTAGAAATGAGTACAACCCATCTTGATAAAAATCTTTCCCGGCAGCTGAAGCAGCGACAAGGTGAAGGCGTGAAGCCTTCGGGTAATAATCACGAGGAAGCGAGGCGCATACCGAGCAATCTTTCGGAGTCACCTGTCGATATTGGATAGAAAACGTATCGAGCAATGAAGAGTTAGAATCTTACTTCCGAGCGTCAAAACCGCGCCCGGATGAGATTTTCTCCCCGCAAGCGAAGAAGCAGGCCTCATCACGCTCGAACTCCACCCGTTTCCCCTCGGCGTCACGGCAACAAGCATTTTCAAGCTCTCCGCGGATTAATACTGCTCTAGAGGAAGCTTGCTGCTTGAAGCTCTTCATCAGCCCCCAAACGTTTTCTGAAGAACGAGAGTCCCCGACCTACCTACCCAAACGATGGAGAAGCTTCAATTCGACTGGTCTATGAGAGGAAGAGGCACGGAATCTCGGGAATTTCCACAACGAATTCCGGATCACCCCAATGATTTTTATTCAACTTCGATTCCGGGCGTCGGAGCTGTAGAATTTTCACTCTTGAATTTCCTTCGCCTCCTGGCTCTGAGACTGCGATTTCCACTTTTTTCGAAATCTAATTCTTGCAAGTAGCGTCTCCCTTCAATATTCGGTCTGGGATGTTCGGCGTCGGGAGAGAACTTGCAGAAATAGTCTGTGCAAGCTGTGAAGAGCACACAATAAACTGCGCCAGGCTGTATGACGTAATGCACCTGAAAATAATGCGTAGAAGACAGGTATTCGGACGAGAGCCGAGTACGAGAAGAGATCCTAGGGGTTATTGTTGCTTAACACCCGTAAAGAAGTCCGCTCACCATACAAGATTTGCAGCCGTCGTCAACGCGTTTCGAATTGTAGTCGAAGAAGCGCTCCTCGGAGTCGACAATGCAGCCGACAGTGCACATTATACTTCCATTGTACCTGTAGTGGTAGTCTATACGCTCCTGATTGTTCGGACAATCGTATTTGGCTCCGTAGACGAGGTCGATCTTCTTCGGCAAGCCTGGGGGGGAAGGAAACGCGACGATGTCGCATCACCAGAATGAGCAAGTTTCGCAGATATTTGAGGAACACAACGAGGCCAAGCCGTGCGAGCACGGCATCCAATCAGCCGGTAAGACGTACTGTACTCGAGCCCGTATATGAGGAAAATCAGAATGAGAACCCGCATGTCGCTGTGTACAAAAGGCAGATTCCACTTGAATTTTTCGTGTTCCGGATCTGACACCTAGACTCTGGTCACGGAGTAGAGAGGAAAGCAGCACGAATTCCTGACGTGTGTCCGATACTTTGACATGCGAAAGAGAGAACAAGAAGCCACTCTGATCTGTCAGACGAATGATCCCTCTACTCCGTCAATCTCGCTCTTCCAATGCTTCCACTCAACTCGGAAGAGACCGTGAAGCTGAAGCTCTATTGGAGCGGCGCGGCGTAGTTCTCCCGCATCACGTGGCCAATCTGCCGAGGCTCGAGGATACGAAGCATGCAAGAGATCTGAATGAATATCCCGTTGACCTCACAGACCAGGAAACCGCTGGCATCCTCCCGATACCGGGAACGTCGTACTTTATCGATTCTATAACTTCGAATGCCAAAACTGGGAGATCTGCTAGATGCTAGAGGATCGTGGGACCCAGAGGCTCTTAGGAAATGGATTATTATCGAGTCGTGCGGCACTGCAGCGTCTCATGAGTGATAACGTGATGACACGTGAGGAGTCAGTAGGGCATAAGAAATATTTGACTCTAGAGGGGATATTCTCCCGGGCAGAATTCTCCATGATATCGAGCGGAACTCTGTGTCATTCGCAATTCACGATATATCCTATCCAGACGATTCTCCTGAGGAATCGGATGAAAATGATATATTTTTTCATCCCCTCTACGATTTCGCCCAAAGCGCCTCAGGACGCTCCGCAGGTCATGAATGTGCTTCCAATGACCTGTGCACCAGTGAAGCCAAAGGGGAACAGGCAGCTCATTCTACAGAAATATGATATCAATCTAATCTGTTCAATTCTGAGCAAAAAGTTCGACTGGCCCCTCAAAGGTTGAAATTCGGAGGTTCTCGGAATTCCTCGATCGTAATTCCGGAGCGTCTCTAGACTCTAGAGTCCTGGAGGCCGCGTGGCGGCTCACTCACAATCAACCTCCGCGAGACAATGACCTTCCGCGCATAGGATGTCTCCTCATCAGATTCGTTGAAGAATGCAATATCAGCCCCAGAGTCGGCGCAGCGCATTCAATTTCGACGTGAAACCCTACAGAAAGCCACCATTGTTTTTACAGACTTTGGAAGTGGAGCATGAAGTCTCTCTCCATCTCACGAAACCTCCCACCCTCGACCTACCTCGGGCCTGCCTGAATAACTTCCGACCGCCATGTGACATGACGCGACGGCTTAATGCGGTCGCTCTCCCCAGCGGTGGTCGTAAATCCGTTTGAGGTCGCTTTTCAATCCACAATTAAAATCCGGAAAGAGCCGCCACCCGCTCTGTCGGAGGACTTCTTGAATGAGTTGCAGCCTGCTGGATCCGCGCGGCATCGTGTACGGATCTATCGACCCGAGGCAGCGGAATTTCTTCGATCTTCCGTTCCTCCGCTCCAGTAATTCCCTCCGAATCCCTTGGAAAAGCTTCTCGAATGGTATGATGTCTTGTCGCATGGGTATGATTCGAGTAGCGCGGTGGTTCTGATATCAAATCCGAATAGCCCGTGCCTGAATAAGCCCCGTAGATCATAGCTCCACGCTTCGAGTATATTCATGAATATTTCTCGTTCGAGTGCGCGGCCATTTTCCGTTCCCCGATCAGAGGGCACCAGCTCGTTCGTCGGACCAGCAACGTAATGAAATGAGGGAACACACTTTGCGAGACAAGAAAAAGAAGGCTAATTCGTATTCTATTCTTGGTCCACGAGGCGCTATCATTCGACTGCAGGACCAACCAACGTTGGAGAGCCTACCCATAGTCACTTGGCCCGACGGATGCTCTATTACTGTTTGGAGAGAAACCGGGAGAGAGAGTGGTCTCGAGAGGCCAAAACAAATAAGTGGATGCGGGGAGAAGCATCAGGGAGACTCGGGGCTGGTCCTTATTATGGAACGAGCCGGGGAATCGACGAGCAGCAGCGATCCGCGAGTACTGAAAGCAAAGATTCCTCTCGGGAGAAGACACAGCCGCGTTTGCAGGAACAGCAAGAGTTAGCGGCTAAATTAAACGGACAAACATCCGACGGGGGACAATGCCGGTTGCAACCAGTCGAAAGGTCGAGGACCCCTAGAGATCCGTTTTGTTCCGAGCGGAGTCATCCTTCTCCAACGAAATTCTATTCGGCATTTTCCCGAGCTCATGGAGCTTATAGGAACGCTCAGCGGGATATTGCGGTTCGCGCTATCGGTAAAACGGCGGTTTCGATCCTGATCCATCCTGACGGCCGTCCTCGACGGGAATTCGGGGGCTCCAAGTTTCGACGCTGAGGTCCGGCCTGAGAGATTGCTACCGGTTTATTCATCTTCCCTCGGAGTCGCCGGGCCTGAGGATTTCTGATAGAGTCTGTATCTCATTGGGGACCAGGGCGTCTACAGCTTGATGTTTATTAAATGTCTGCGAGAACGCGCCACACCTTCCTTTACAGTCTTGGTTGCAGCCAGAGCTCGGCGTGCTCTCACATAACGGGCTCAGAAACCAGTTTTGCTCTTTACTTCCACTGCTGTCGCTGAAATGCATCTGATAATAATCCAAATTCATTCGTAAACTGAGCCTGAGCGAAACAATGAGAGCAAACTCGGATGGCAGCCCCCGCACTTTGCAAAAATTCAATTCTCGTCATTGCTCTTCATGGAACGGTTCGGAAATAGTCCCTCCATCCATCAGACAAATCGTCCTCGAGCGAGAATTCCCGACGATGCCCGAGGAAAACATACAGCATGCGCGAGCACCGATGTTCCTGTAGGGGACGAGGTGAGGCGAACCGCGCAGAACTTGGAAACCGGTTTGGTGCTCGCTGCAGCAGAACGAATGAATACGACGACGGTGAGAAGTAAACTACGAGTTCGGAGGGATCGAGGAAGACAACAAACTCGAAATCCTTTTTGAAAGTCTCGCGGATGCTGCAAAATGTTTCTCTGGCTGTCGAAAAAGGACCGCTCGACTCGGTCGCTTCCGTGCATCCCAGAAATTTCCAGCTCAGAACGTTCCGAACGATGATGAAGGCGAAATGTTCCGTCTTCTTGGAAGCCCACAAATGTCGGAAGTCATCATCGATATCGATTTTCCCCCGATATTTTTTTTTGTACCTTCTACCATCGAGTCTCATCGATCCGCCCGGGGGCTTGTGCGTGGGATGAAAGATGTCACCTTGAGACTCGGGACACTGACTGACTCGCTCCCCGCTCTAGGATTCCCTCGAACCATTCGGGCTTGTCGTAGCTCTGCGGGTTCGGGCCTATTCTAAACGTGACGTCTGTCTTCCGTCGGCTGGTTCTTCCCTGACGAAGAGCAAACCTCTTCGAAGCCATATCGATAGACCGCCATCGGTCGGATTCGCTCGCGCGTATTGACTACCAGACTTCAAGCCGATTGGAGTCTACTTATTTGGCATGCGACGCGACGCTCGAAGATTTCCGCAATCACCTGAAAGGTGATTTCTCGAACGCCCGCCGCGCTGACTGCAAAGAATCGAGTCGAGAAAAGAGGGAAATGCCGTCGTGAGGTATACCTTCTATACCTCGTGAAATACTTCTTCCCTGCAATCGCGGTGGAGATATCAGTGTATGTGCACGTCGAGCGCCGCCACACGAAACTGAGAGCAAGAATATCGAGCATCGGAGAAAGATGAGATGATCGAAGGTATTCTTGAAATGAAAAGCGAACGAGAGAACGTGACTCTAGTCAAACCAATCTTCCGTGCGATCACGTTGCTAGGAGAGATCTGAGTCTACTGCAAATTTCACGGAATTCATCATTCCCGAGGCTGGAATCCATTCGGAAATGCTCCGGCAGAGACCGCCGATGAAATCATTGGGGACGATCCCGAGTTTCGCTCGTCAGACCAGCCGCTCAAGCGCTGTCTTTGCTCGAGGCAGATCGTCAAGCTCTGAATTAAAAATCTGGTATGGCGTACGGTCATCTCGATTTGCATTTCGACTCAATGTTCAGCGATCCTCCAACGCAGAGTGCGGAGTTTCATCCGCGAGACATCTCGAAGATTTCGGATTGGAATCGCGTCTCCGTCCGACGAGCGGTCATGTCGTAATTCCCACGGTTGTCTGGTCGCTCGATAGTTTGCCCGAGCACCGACATCTTCTGCTTAAGTTTCAGAGGAAAGACTCGATCCTCGATTTCTCTTCTCAGAGAACTCCCCCTACCTGTTTGAGACCTCGTCGGCATCGACGAGATTGACCGCGCAACGCCGATTCGCCGAGTAGGACCGATGCCCGCTGAAGCAGCGATTTCAAAGCGGACATTGGAATTTCGCGGAGCGACGCATGCGACTGACTAAGACGCGGAGTTCTGCCGATGAATAATTCTCTTTGAATCAGAATTAGTCGGCTCTGTTTGTGATTGGTGCGCGCGAGCGAACGCGTGCTCGAATGTTTGTATGTGTCTGTGGACTCGGATAAGTGTAAGTGTGTGCGCTTGCGTGCGTGTCATCTCACAGTTGAAATATTTAACAATGCTCGAGTAGAACTTATCGAGAAAGGACTCAGGCTCTAGGACAGAGGGTGGGCGTGCGGGGGACGGAGTCGGTGCAGGCGACGACAATGCGGGGGAGCATAATTTTGTTTATACTCAACAACAACCGTCGCGTAGACAACGCTCACAAATTAAAAGTGGAACAACGTACAGATGTAAAAGAAACTGTTCTGAAAGAGGACTCGCACGCAACCGACGAGGAACGAGATCTGTCAGGTTCGGGAGGCATAGCCAAAAGTTGGGTATTGTTCGTCGCTGGATATCCAGCGCTACGACTTTTCGCTGAATGTGTTCCGAGATTCGATGAGTGAGATAGATCTGCCGAGATCATGCAAGCGGATTATTTAAGGTTTCAGACACAGAACCTCTGAAAATTTCACAAGGGTGTGCTCTATGGCAGTCGAGAGTAAACAGCACGACCAGCATCTCGCTTCGCTCTGAAGTGTTGCGAAGGCGGTACATCTTATTCTTGCACATGCTCGGCAGAGATATGCAAAATCACATTCC